TTAATGAATTATTTTTCCGCTTTTTAAACTTTTCCTTCTTTTAATACAATAAGTTTACCCATCACGATTGTAGTAAGCAACGATAAAAGCCGGACATGTACTTCCCATTTTTATTGTTGTCTTTGATGATATTGCTTTGATTGGCCTTAAAGAAAAATCGCGGCTCTTATCATCTCTTGTTCTAAAAAATTATATTATTAATAGAATTTCAACCATTTAAAAATATTTTTCATAAATAAACTCACTGAATTATTCTGATCACTTTTATTTACTTTTCTTGTATAGTTAATCTTATTATACCAGTTTTAGGCAATTTCCTTCTAATACCACTAACCATTCTAGGTTCGGATTCATATTAGACGAGATTTTGCCAGATAATTATATGAGGATATAGGCATAAATTTCAGATTTCACTTTTAATGATAAGATCATTTCTGTCAAAAAAATTCGTTTTGTACTCAAATGTGCCTTATAACGTGTAAAGAGACAATAACGAAAAATGAAAAAGCATTTCCAAATTTTCAACATATTTCATGCAAGTTTATTTTCGCTTATAAAGACCAACTGCAAGTTCTTGTCACCTATATACATTTCTAAGCTTTTTCTTATTATTGTTTCTCTTTCCTAACCATACTACCTGCTTTATCACCATAATTTTTTTCTCTCATCTTCTTAGTCTACCACTTTTTCTTCTTCTTATGGCTCTCGTTACTAAATAGACTGGTGAAGGAGAGGAGAGATGTTTCCAAATCATCCGAAGCCATATCTGATAGTAACAAAAGCCATTTCTCTTTTCCATCATTTTGCCCATATACATCTCAAGCCTATCTATACGTTCAGAATCTTTCTTGATTCCATCAGTCCAATCCAAACTTAGCAAGTGGCGATGGCGGATATCCATCAATTCCATTTGTTCAGCAGATGGCGAAGAACATGGCTTAACGCACGTAAGCGAAGTAGGTGACAATATTCTAAAATAATATCTGAGAGAATATGAGCGATGCATTCATATGAAGTTTTATCCGCACTGCTGGCACACAGAATAGCTTTTTAATACTCCTCTCACTGGCAATATTTAATAACTACACAAAAAAAGATGATATACAATTAGATATAGCGATCATTTTGGTAATTTCACACATAGCTAATCGACCAAATGAAAGAAGGCATTTGCGATTATCCTGGCTGCAATTTCTTTTGCTTGGCCATTTGGTACGATAGTGGATCTATGATACTTAAAGTCTTTACTTCCTCAATCCTTGATGAAATATTAAAAGCAGATATTTTATTAGCATAAGGCAAAAAAAATTTTGTATTATTTAGTCTGAATCATTCAGTTTGAATCCGATTTTTGCTGCAACCTTCCATATACTATTAGGTACCTTTTCGCCAATAAAAGAAAAATCATTGTACAGGAAGAAAAAGATAAAGGAAGAATGCCTCCAATTTTCTTGCAAGTCTCAGTTAAACAATAACCCAATTTTGTAACGCACCGATATTTATTTATAATAGGAATCCCGAAAGAAATTTGTTTTCAGATAGACTATTAAAATGAAAATAATAAATTAAAACAATACACTTGCAAACAATACACTTGCAAACCTTAGTAATAATCTTTTTCCTTGTACCTTGGTTTTCCAGTATGTTGACAGTATAATCGTTTAACTTTCGTCCAACCTTCTTTACACCTATAGGAAGTTCGCTGAACAAATGTTACACAATGAGTCGCTTCAGTCCGAGTTTTCCAAGCCTAAGTAATGGATTACTTTTAAAACTAAATTTTATTAAGATAGATTTTTATTAACGTATAGAATTTGTTTTTGATTTTAAATACATTTGATATATTCTACATATTCTCCAAAGCGTCGAATTAAATTACTTGGTAGAATTAAAAATAAATAATTTGATTTTTTGTATTTATAGCAAAAAATTTGCCTCATACTGGTCTTCCGTCTGAAAAACCCATTGAATGTAATCGGGAAAAAAGCCATGCGTTGTTTTAAGATGGTCGATAACAGCGGTTAATGATTGTAATGGAAGACCACAGCCGCTTGCCGGGCATAACAAAGATAACTGAATATTTACCATTCATTAGCAAAAAGATTTATCCTACGGATGGGATACAAGTGCAAGGATGGTCAAATGATATGGCTGCTTCGATTTGCATCCAGCGACATATTCGACTGCCCCAGACAAGCGTAAACAATGCCATATAAAACATATCCGGGTGGTACCAATGACAATCTGTACATCTATCGCCTCTCTCTCCCTCCCTGGTAATGACTCCCTGGTAATTTTTAACCATTAAAACAATTAGCTTCGCTAGCCTAACCAGAAATGGCAAGGATAAACTAAACCAAAAGAATTTAAGTTCAATTCTTAATCAACTATTGACCCATAGGAAATAATGCAATAAATAATATCCAGTTAACCTCATGGAATATTTCCCAAAGTAGAGATACTCCGTTCTCGCCCAACTCAAATTTCGTAAATTCTACATTTTATAATTATCAGACTACTCGAATAGTTATCGAGTAATTATTATTGCATCGTCAAAGAATAAAATAAGCATAGAAATCCGTCAATCTTCCAAAATGCAAAACTAATAATGAAAGTAAACTGGCAAAATCAATGGAAATATTAACCCTGAGAATAATTCCATGAGCTCGGGAACAATGTGCATTATACGATTTTTTCGAACTATACGTTCGGCAACAATGCGGACATTTCAATCGTCCATCGCCACAAACTGCTGGCTTTAATGCTCGATTATCCACTGATCTCAGGTTCACTGCATTACTTTCAGCACCTCTCGCATCCAAATTTCGCCGATCAAGCATTCGTCCATCACTTAGCACTTTATTTTCTATAAAACTGGACGTGAATAAGCAAATTCGAGAGAAAATTGTCGCTTAACCGGTACGATATGATAATATAGTATGGCAAAAGGAGAGAATACACGGGCGTTCCGTGCAAATCATAGTCAACAAGCACTTACCCGTAGTGGCTGAAATCGTATAACTCTGTGGGCTTTCCTTCATGATCACCTGGAATTTGCCTGAATTAATCCAAACTAAATCAAAAAACGCGAACAAATCACACGAAAACGTGGAACTTTATACACAGACACAACACACATGCCACATACACAAACGAAACGCACATACACCTGCACATTCTCGTACATGTGCACATTCACTATACGCATTTCTAGTAGCTCTAAAAAGCAGACGGGAACTAAATATAGCAGCACGAAATTATATTATTTGCTGGATGTATTGTGAATAAAAATTGCTAATAAACATGAACAAAATGGAAATTTGTACTATTCCATGAGCTCTCGTAAATCGGAACGTCAGGTCTGGAGTTCGAGCTACTGCTGGGTTTGGACGAGTACTTTTAAAGAAATTGGTACTGCAGAGAAGATTCTGGTTTGCCTCATAGTTTCACCAACCGGGATCTCAGATCTCTTCATAAATAACTCATTTAGAGGATAGAAATGTTGATGGCAGCCCTCAGGGGCGGTTTTTGCAGGTCTTCGCGTGCAATGAGAAAAATCAAATTCGCGATCTCTAACAGCGCTTGACTCTACTTTACGTTAATTTTGTCACAAAATGTTCACCCTTTTTCTGCTCAATATCGAATTTTACGAATTTTTTCGAATATCGCAATCACCTTAATTTTTGAATAATCATCGCGCTGGAATGAATAGGACGAACAGCCTCGCGAACAGTCGAAACCTGGAGAAATCGAATGACACTTCCCCTCTCTCTTCCGCGAATAGAAGCAAATCGCACTTGCTTATTAGCCGCTAACTGAAGCAACAACAAAAAAGTTGGCCTCAAATCTTGCTAACTTCCCAACAATTCCCTTATAATTAACTTTTCTAGAGCTCAAATATTATTTATTATTTATTAAATTATTAATATTAATATATCTAACTCACAAAAGTATTATTTTGTGAATTATGTTTTTTGCTTCTTTCTTTTACCAATTTCAGTGGTACTCGACTTCAGTGAGCCCCGTGTTTCAATCAAGGCCTTCGTTTCGGTTCACAAAGTATCGATGGCCGCAATTAAGGTCGATGAGGTAGGGTTCACCCAACATTTCGTTATAGCCGACTTCATCGAAACTACCGAAAGGTTTTTCCAGTTTAAATGAATTACAAAAAATAAATCAAAAGTGATTAGCTCACTTTCAGTTATATATCGCTAATAACTTCGCTGATTGACAGCAGCTGAAGGTTAGAAATTTTCAGCTGGAAATCACTGGAACAAAAGTGTCGCGAGTACCATTGGAATTTTTCAGTGGCAAGTTGGAAGCAACGATCGAAAATTGGGATCGCTCGCTATCGAATGTCGAAGCCATAATCTTATACCGTAATCACAACAATTATATTCATGCAAATATCCCACGGCCGGGGCATTCCCTCTTTTTCGTATCGAATTTGATATTCACTTTTCTTTAGAGATGGTGTTTTCTTTAGCGAAATCGATCATTTTAATAAATATATTCGCTTGGGGATTTTCCACATAACTTTGACTTTAACTTTACTTTCCCTCTTAGCATTCGTTTTCTCGTGCAACAAATCATCCAAATCTTCTTATTCATCAAGCATAAAATCACCGGCAAAGTAGAAACGTACATAGTGAAATAGAGACGAATGGTAATGAAAAGATATGAGTTAAAAGTACAGAAATGAAATGGAACAGAAATCGCTTCTGGAAGCTCTTCTGGGCGCTAAGCGCATTAGAATAGTGGCTAAATGTAGAGAGTATATATACTCCATAGAATACTCTAAAGCATTAGCATTACTAAATTACTGAAAACTAAAACTAGCAAGCAAATAAGTGCAAGTTCAGTTTTTATTTCTTTTAGAACGTTAAAATGGCAAATGGGAATTTCAAGAAAGTTTTTGTAGATAAAATTTGGCTTCTTAAATATACATAAGAATAGCAAATTCATATAGTGTAGAAGCACTTAAAAATAAAGAATAGATTTCATTGCATAGGTTCCACTATTTGCTGATCCGGAATAGCCTCTTCAGGAAATTCAAGTTCCCAAATTCGTTTCAGATGTTTTCCTTTAACGTCTCTTGGCATGCCAAAACCTGTCATTCCTTTCTGCAAACGCTCGTCAATTACCAGCCGATTGGCCATGATTCGATTAACTCGTAAGTTTTTTTTGATTATTTATTTGAATATTTTAAAATTTACTTTGCTGTCTGATTATATTAGTAAATATTTTGGTTTTGTTTAACCAACCTGCGACTCAAATTGATTTGTTCCTGATTGAAGCCGTACTACTGAGTCAGTGGCACGAAGTTGCTCTATTGTCCACTTCTTGCCTTTATCAGTAAATTGAATATTTGTTGATGTGTTACGAGGCATACCGAAACCAGTCTTGCCCTAAATTAAAATAGTTTGCAGTAATTGTTATTATACAATGAATCAAATGCTACTACTATAAATGAAAAATCGCAATTAAATATTTTATCCCTAAATTCTTCTTTTAGCGGCACTCCTCATTCCTGACTTGGCTGACTCAATTGGCCAGTAACATGAGATTCCGTTACTAGTCATGTAAAGATATAAGGGAATTCAGCACCATTTGCATTTCATTTTTAATGGCAGATTTGATTCGCATCGAGGGATAGGTGTCGAATTTATGGTGATTTGGCCTTATTGAAGGTAATGCACCGCTCAATCACCTTATTGCTTCATTCTAACTGAATAAACGCTTATCGCATTAAAAAAAAATATAATTCTTCACTTACCTACTCATAATACGTGGAGATACTCGAAAAAAGCAAAAAATATCAAAACCTTTTGCGAATCGAACTGGTTAGTTCCCGATTGAAGAGGAACAATCCCATCGGTTTGTCTCAATTGCCTCAAAGTAAATTTACCGTTTCTCGTTCGTCGTTCTCCATTTTCTGTGATAGGTGCTTCTGCTGCAGCGATTTTTAAATGTTCATATCCTGCTAAAACATTTGAGTAATGTTCAGCTCAATTATTCAAGTCGATTCATCATTATTTTTATAATTAATAGACTTTTCTTTTAAAAACACTTAATATTGTTGATCTGGCTAGTTGCACTGGTTATTACTTAGAAAGATGTCTCTTATTTCCTCACTAGAGAATCAGTTAAAGGGTGCCAGTAATAACTCTAACACCAATCACAACTTGGAAATATATTTTAATAGTACCTCAAAATGAATCGAAAGTTCACAAAATATCCCTAATTATCCCTAAAATTAAAGTGTTGCTTTTGCAAACTGTTCGCCAAGGAGACACCAATAATTCAATAAGCCACTTTATTATTATTAGAGATACAGAATCTGATTCTTGATTTTATATATTGAGAAAATTTAAGTAATTTCTTAAAATTTAATACAAAACTTTCAAATTATTTTCTGCCTATATATAGCATTTTCTCTTTCCTTTCGTCACTTTGGGATAAACGAGGAAATATTCGGTGGGCGATTGCTATACGAAAAAACATGTGGATTAATCGAAAAGAGACGAAAAGAAAATCAGCATTAACCATGCGACTCATCAATTTAAATATGCTTTCAAATGGAATTTGAATATGATTATAAATATAATTATCTGAATCAAAAGGCTTGGTGCTGTTGTTTATCGGCAGATAGATGGGTGGATGAATGAGTTATCAAGAAAATTGGAAAAAACTGGAATTTCGAATAAACTCAATTTTAACGTTCCTGGATGCACATGAATCCAAGGAAATTGGAGATAACTTTAGAAATCGCAATATTTTGCTAGATTTAAATTTTGGCTGCTCGGACAAAAGTGTACCTAATTTTAACTTAACTAGTAAAGTGAATTAAAAAATCCGAGTATAAATTTGCCTAAATTTTTAGTCTCAAATGACAAAATTTTTCTTTCCTGAGATTTGTCTTAAAATATTCTTTACAGCTAAACCAGTGAATTTTCTGTGCTTATCATTTTCTGTTTTTGACCACAGATAATTAAAGTATTTTAATTTAAACTGATTGATGCATTAAAAATTTTGAAGCCGAAAATTTCTGGCATTTCTTTTCTACTTTTACTTTTTTTGCTAGAAATTCATGAAAATAAATAGATTTTTACTTAATAAATTTTTATTTTGCTTTAATTTTATTTTTAATTAATTTTTAATTTATAAATTTTTTATTTAGCCTCGTAAGTTTTTTACTTCTCAATAACTTTATTTTCTTTATTTTTTTTTCGTTTTCAAGGGGATATTTTACCGGAATATAAATTTACTTAATTTTAAACAAACTGCTTTTTAAAAGTCGAGCAGAAAATGCCAGTTCGTTCAATTTTAAGTAATATTGAGTCCCAGAAATCGACCGGAAAATAAAAGAACCCATAAAAATTGAAAATTTTTATTTGCCTAACTTAAATTTTCAAGTACTCGACTCCTTAAATTTAACATTAGTAGTTTTTCTAGTTTTTCTTAAAATTGTATGATTCACTACTAAATGAAGAAAACTTTAAAAATTGTTTTATAATTATTTTGATACAACCATCACCATGTAAATAATCCTTAAAATAAAGCCTAGTGCTGCTAGGAACCTAACTGCGCTTTTATCTTCAAGCATACTTATCTCGGACGAAAGAGTATCACCAGTGAAGCGAGCCAAAGCAGGAATGGTAAGTGCTGTTCAGATAAAATTAACAACCAATTTCACTTTTTAACAGCCTGAATAGAAAAACTCGATTTAAAGTCACTAGAAATTTCAAAAAATTAAAAAGTTTAAATTAAAAGATTTCGAATTAAAAAGCTGGAGTTCTATCGAACCATTCGGACACTCAGATTTTAGAAAATGAGAACAAATTTAATTGATGTGATTCATTTATTCCTTTTTTTTCGTTTAGATATTGAGAAAGAAATTAATGAGCTGAGGTTGAGCAAACTAAAAAGGTCGATTTATCTAAGAGGAATGAAATATCTTCGGACCCCTAATGCCTTTCTATTATAACGCTTTTTAATTTCATGGAACGGGGAATAGTGATGTGTCTTCTATCACCAAGTACTTATTATCGCCTTTAGAGCCAAAGTAGCCAGCCAGACCAGAAATGGTAATCACGACTGGCAGAAGAAGAAGGCCAATAAAAAAAAAAAATCCATAGAACCGGTAATAAATGTGTAAATTTGACAGATTCCGTAAGAATTTAGCCAATTAACCAAGTAACCAAATAAAACTACAGGATAAATCTCTTTATTATGGTTATAACAATTTATTATAGCTTATCATTTCCGATCCGGAAGAAATTTTGAATAATTATAGATTATCCAGGGAAATAATACAGAGTGGCTATTATTTATTTTCAAATATGGCAATGGATTGAGGGGCTCGAAAACATCTTTGCATCTCGTAGGATTGAGTCGAGCGTGACGATGCGAACAATTAAAAGAAGAACAGTAAATAATCTTACCACAGAAGAAAATATTGGTGTTTCCTTTGAAACGTATCGAAATTTTAGAGACTAATTGAAAATGGCTAAAAAATATGTTTAAAAATTTGCTTGCAAATTTCAATTAGAAAAACCAGCATTGAGTCGTTATCGTCTAACACTATCAGAGATCAATTCTCAATTTATTCGGTATAAATAAATAATCATATAAAATTACCGGAAGAATTATCATCAGCCATATTAAGAGAGGTCACAGTTATTTGTTAATGACAGCAAATTCAATATAAAATAAATAGATGAGAACTACTCTACCCGACTTAACTTGTTTCCTCGTCTAACAGTCTGTACTCTTTAACTTTGTTCTCGAGATCTCTTCTCGAGCAATCGAACAATTGGTCTACTGAATAATCGCTTCCAACCTGTCGCATTATCTTGATTTTACACAATTGTATTGAAAACTGTTTGAGCACCCACGTAATTTTTGGCACTTTTTTTTGACATTTCTTATATCTTTTAAATTTCATAAATTATTTGGATTTTATTTTTTTATATACACTTTTTTCTTCTCAGAATTGCTTTGTTCCACAAATTTTTTGGAGCGATTTAAGTGATACGGAAGATGATACAAGTTTTTACAAAGAGAATATTAGTAAAGGTTAAGAAATGCAAGAAAAAAAACCATACTTTCCTAGTTAGACTCGTTCCACAGGCTACTGATTTCGATATGTTTACAACTTTCTAGAATTATTTCTGCTTATGATTTCCGGGGATTTATTACAACAATATAATTGCGGCAAATTGTATAATATGAGATTTGAACGAATCACTGCCAGAAAATATGGTTCTATGAAATGGGATGGTGAATAATAACATATATGCTTATAGCGCGCTATTTTTTGGTTTTAATATTATCAATGATTTTGGAAAAATATTTCCCAATATTTCTAAAATTTCAGTTTTTGATATCTTTTTTCAGCAGATTTCATATGTCTAATAGCCATTCAAAATATCTAATTTTATAAAAACGGAAACAACTATATAGTGGAAAAATAACGCTAATAATAATTTTCCTTTTCAGTTCCATTAAAAAAATTTATGATTCCAGTTTCGAGTTATTGCACAATTTGGAGCGCTAATGCTGAGGTTCTACTGCCAATAAAGATAAACCCGCCCTTCAAAAATCCGGCTAGCGACTCACTTATATTTCTACCGTTAATTGACTCTCTGCCAAAATTTCTCTGGTCCAGCGGAATGACCCTAATTACCAGTGGTGAGCTCTTCTAGAAAAAAAATTCAAAGAGATTGTCTTATACAACGCCCATTTCATTTTTCAAAATGCTGTTAAATCATTCATTGAATGGAACGAAATTCGGTAATTTTTTATTATTTGAAATGCTTATAAAATAAAATAGATTTAAGAATTCCTTACTTGCAACTTTTCTCCGAATAATTTACTTATTGCCTCTAGCAAAAAGAAAAGGTTTCAATATCTTAATTTCAATACCTTAATTTGGTAATTAAGTTGAGGAAACAAATTTGTATTAAATTTGTATTTGGGATTCGTTTCTCATTCATGATTTTATGAATAAAATATTTCTGACAAATTTCTTCATTTTTAAAAATTTCGTCGGACCAATAAAGTGGTGATTTCTTTGTTCTGAAAAATGAGAAAGAATGGTGTTTTATAAGCATATTTTTAAAAATATTCCGAATCGGGATATCCCAGTTGATATTCGCAATCTACCAGTACTTCTGTCGACAGCTGACTCCCTGAATGAAATTTTTAAGCATGCAAGCTAGCTTAATTAGAGCCAAGAAATGTTTGCCAAATCTTTGTATTCACTATAGACTTTCACACGCCAATGCTAAAAGCGAACAAAAATATGATTCTACAAAATGTAGATTTAACTGCTGGAAATGGATTGATCGAGCGGTTGGTATGAAGTTAATTCTTCTGAATTAACGCGTCAACGATTTGATTCGCATATCCTTACGCTCATGATAGACAAAAAGTAAACCTACTGGTGCAAATGAAAACCAGATAGTGCTCGACACCCATCTATACTTCTATCTCGTTGACTTTCCAGCAATTAAAAATAGCTATTTTTCTCGATTTTTTAATTTTTTATTTCTTCGCAAGATAATTTTCTTTTATCTTTCCACGATACACAATTATATAAGAGAATTTTGTGGAAATTTTATATTTTTTTGTATAAATCTGCTATTATTTTTTAAAAATTTATCTTTAAATTCAGTTTCAAATCTGCTGAAGTTTTAAATTTATTGTAAAAATGGAATTTATTTGAATTTATTGCTGTTGCGCAGCAAATATCATCCAATAAGCAATATATAGTTGTACGAGACTTCACGAAAGTTAGTTACCACCATACAACTTAAGTTTTATGGAATTTTGCGCATTTGATCTCGCGGACTCCGCTTGTTTTGGATATTAGCTCCCAAATTTACAAATGCATAATATTATATTATACATTTTGCTCGAATAAAATTGTAAGCAATTACTGTATCGTTGATTTATGTTCATTCACTATCATATATATATTCACTTTACAGTTTTTTAAGAAAAAAAGAAAATACATCGTTATTGTAAACGTGAGATAACGAATAATGAAAAATGTGAAGACATGAAAAAAGAGCAAATTTTTTTAGGCAGCGGATAATAAAATGGAAAATTTAAAAATTCTATGATAATATAGCAAATGCAAATAAAACAGATTAATTATTCGTCATATAATGTTTATTACATAATACATTGAAATGAGTCGTAAAAAGCATATTTTTATGTAAAAATTGGTAAAGAAATTGAGCCAGAGGGATATCACTGAGCTTGGATAAAGATTTTTTAGATGGTAAGGATAATTCTCCTCGGATGAATCGTTCAAGAATCGGATTATTGAGAAGGGTTAACAAATTAATTTATTTAGGGTAAAAAGGAAATGAAAGAGGATATTTTATCGAGTTGTTACTGCATATTTGTATTTAACTGTAGATTAAGACCAAGATTACTATGAAATGCACTTTAGAGACGATCAAGCGAGACTTCCGCTTCTTCTGGATATTCTAGCTCCCAAATACGTTTCAGATGTTTGCCTTTAACATCTCTTGGAGCACCGAATCCAGTCATGCCCTAGAATATCAAGAGGATTTTGCAAAAAAATAACACTTTTGATAATTTTTCGCATAATAGGAATTTTGGGAATTGAAATATTCTTCTTCGGATTTTTACCTTTAAAATGAGGATATAGATTTATTAATGAAAGAAAGGAGGCTGTGCCTTGGAACTGCAAAATCTAGATCCATTTTTTTGATATTTTGATACCCCACAAGCTGCCATAAGTTCTGAAAAACCGTCCTCATCGCCTTATTGATCTATGCATAATGAAAATAAAGTTCACTCTTCACCCTTCTGCCCTTTAAATCTCTTTAGAAATAGCTTCTTATTATCAACCATTCTCTTTTTCTTTTAAGCTCAAGTTATGTAACCAAAAAGAACAATATGACGATGAAAGCTTATATAAAAAGAGTGTAATGAAAACAGAAGAAAAGCTAGAGGAAGAAAGAATAACTGGGATTTGTTGAAATATAGATGTATGGGAAGCTTTGAAACTTTAATTATTAAGAGATGTGCCTGGGCTTGGCCGTCCATAAGATGATTCTCCTTACCATAATTTATTAAAAAATTATAATAGATTATAATTTTTGCAAACATCTTGATAAAGACTGAGTAGCCTTGATAAAAAATTTTGAGAGAGAACTTTTCCTTTAAAAAAATGAACCTATGGTTATAACTTTTTTTGTCGATCATTTTTCCATCACACGGAGATATAGAAAATCCAATATAATCGAAATTTAGAATTAAGGTGAATTAAAAGAAATCCGTGAATAGCCCAGTGTAAAACTGGTTTTATCGATTCGCTACCCTTTAAATATTCTTATAGTGATTTTCATTAAACATTCACCATACCTTTTGAGAATCACCCCTATTCCAACCAGCTTGTGATGGAATAATCGTTTCTGATTTTTTCATATCCTCATATGGCAGTTCACCAGCTTCAGCTTCATAAGTTGTATTACGAATTGTTCCAAAACCAGTCATACCTTGTTGAGAGGCAAATCTTTAAGATAATTCTCTTCTTTAAGGAATTCATTCACTGGCTTTTTCAATGGATTTTGGATTAATTGCTTTTCGTAATAATTTGATTTATATATTAATGCCAATAAAAATTAATTTTTCAACTGAAATCATTTCAAATAAATTTAAAAGTATATTATTAAGATGGAATTGTTGCCATACGGAAAACCTGGATCTAGCACTATAAGCGTAAAAACTGTACTTGTTCGTTCCCGACTGTAAACGAACCATTCCTTGACTTTTACGATTTTGCCACGAAATCGATGGATCAAGAACCTAAACATTTTTCAAAATGTAATTGGAATAATAATTAATATGCAATAGATGTTCCCAGATAAATCCACTAAGTCAAAAATTTTAAATGATCCTTTGCATCATATTCACAGCTTTGACTTAAACTCCAAGAGAATATTACATGTTATCTAACATAAACAATTCCTAAAAAATCTATTTTTTATAAAGAAAATTGAAAAGTTAAACAATCATTTATTGTACATCCGATAATTTTAAAAACTGTCTAACCTCCCAACGAGGTTGACCAAATCCGGTCATTCCTTTTTGGGACGCATATTTGTTGCTACCCATTTGACTTGGAATAGTTGAAGAGTCAATGCTACTTTCTGGGTCGTATTCAGGGTGAGCTGTATCTACGATCCTAGTAGTTTCTCTTCTGCTTGTGCCGAAACCAGTCATTCCCTGTATAGTGTATAATTGCATGCTTCATGGTTCCAGTGCTAATTAACAAATTAAACGACAAAATTTGGCTTCTAAAAATTCTAATTAATTGATACTTGCAGCAACAAGCATTTGAAAACAATAAAAGCATGAATTAATGCTGAATAACTTTTTGCGATGCGAATCGATTTGTGCCAGCTTGAAGTGGTATTTCCGATTGGTCAGGTCTTTCATGATCATAATCTGGATGTTTTGTATCAACCATTTTTGTTGTTTCTCTACGCGATGTGCCAAATCCAGTCATCCCCTTAATTTTCATTTAAATTTTGAATAATTCAAATTTTAAATCATTCAATATCTCTTTTAATATCTCCCATCTTAATATTTCACCATATGTTCAACCATAGGCAAAAGAAATTTTCTTATCGCAAAGTTTTTGGAATTGTTTCCGAAGAGTAAAAGCAAAAATTCAAAAAAATGAAATTTAAAAAAACAAAGTTGCTATTCTATAATTTTCATTTTCACTGTAATAAAGAAGAAAAATCTAATGATAACAATTATATTATAATAAATATAATAATATGACAATAATTATGATATTAATAATATTAATTAGTAATAAATATAATAATGGAAATATATAATAATAATAATATTAATAACAACAATGATCAGCAATAATAATAGTTAACAATAGATTATTATGTATTATAATCATTATAACGGTTTATAATAATAATGATAACGATGATTTATGTAATCTTTACTTAATGTAAATATATTTACAAAAAATAGCTTATTTAAAAAATAAGATTTAATAACTTAATAAGTTATATTTAAAGTTAATAATCGAAGTTAAATTATCATTATCAATAATAATAATATAATAATATTAATACCTTTTGCGAATCATATTTATTCGTACCAGCTTGAAGACGTACAATGCCATCGCTCAAGCGAATCTTTTCCTCCGGTAATTCCTAGAATTTCCAGCAAAAATAATATAATTCTTATAATTCTTACTTCGTAAAAAATCATTTGTATAATGAATAACTAGGTTAACCTCATATAAATGGTTTTAAATAACTATATCGTTTCTGATATCGCTTAATTGATTTGCATGTTTGGTTATCAATTTAGAGAAAATAGATAAATAAAGATTTTCGCAAAAAAATTGATATACCGGAAGATCGGAAGGATTTTGACTGACATGTTTTCCTTCTCGGCATACATCACGTCCAGTACCAAAGCCGGTCATTCCACGTTGTGAATCATATTTATTTGTTCCAGATTGTAAACGAACTTCACCATGCGAGCGTAATAGAATTTCCTCAGGTATTTCCTGGAGATATAAGGTGAAAAAAGAAGAGAAATTAGTTTCTTCAGCTTTAATTAAGGTTCATAAAAATGTTATCACTTGAAAAGAAATGTAATTAAGTGTTGTTCAAGGAAAAGAAGAAAGACTTACTGCAAGATTTTCAGCTTTTATCTTAGTGCTAGTGTTCCGCGGTGTGCCAAAGTTTGTCATTAACTTTTGCGATTCTCCTTTATTCCAACCGGCTTGCGATGGTATAATGCCTAAAACCAACAATCCTAATGAAATTCAGTTGGCGAATACTAGTTTTTGCGAGAGTTGGTATATATGATATTCCTTATTATCTGGTTTGTTTACATTTATTCGATTTCCAATCGATCAGAATAGATTTTTTTGTATTAAAAAAATTTTTGTCAAATCACTTAAGCAAAAATTAAGGATGCATATCTGCTAATATTGATTAAGATTGTGAAATCAGGCCAAAAATCTAAAATTCTACAAAAATTTAGCACCTCAATTCTAGAAAATTTCTAAAATTTCTAAGATAAAATATCTAACCATCAGTTTGGCGAAGTTGAGCAAGTGTCCATCGACCCACTCGTTTAGGTTGGCCTTGCCCAGCCACTCGAGTCTCCATCGTTGCGTTTGGCACATCTTCTACAATAATTTTTATGCAATCAATGATAAGCAAAATAATGAATACTTTTGTACAAATAATTTTACACTAGTGTAATAGATTAGAAGAGATAAATTGAGAATATTATTAAATTATAATCGGAAAAAGCCAAGATCGGATGAAAAACTGGGGTTCATCAAGAAATCAGGCCTTATTTTACAGGCCACTGTTGAAGAAAAAACTTTAAATATATCTCACTTTTCAAATCGCATGATAACAAATGACCCAGGTTTAAGATGAGGATTGATACCGTTTGAGGATTGAAGCCCTAACACGCTGATAAAGCCATTTAAAAAAACGCATTTGCCCTGTTACAAGAAAAAACTTTATCATAGCTGCAAATTCGCAGGTTCTGGAGATCTACTTGACAAATTTGACCGTATAAATATTTATAAAAGCAATTTATCCTAAAACAGCCCAGAAAATTCTAAAAATACTTTGAAACGCATTTGATGTGCGAAAAGCCCATTGAAAATTTAATTTTAATTTCGAAAATGCCGAAATTTTTTTAAGGTTATTTACTCATAAATTATTTTCTTTCATAATGACGAAAATATTTATATTAATATATTTAACGATTTTCAAATCAGAACTGCTTGAAACAATGTAAATTATTAAAGTTATTTTATTTTTACTTATTTTTATTTTAAAAAAATTGGTTCTGTGGGCAAACTAAGTTATTTAACAAAGCATATTCGATAATTTTCACAAATTTAGATCACATCAAGTAAATAGAAATTATCAGAAAGTTGTTACCTTCATTTTTAAAAATCCATACACTAAAGCAACAATAAAGCAAACAATAAAGCAAAAAAAACGGAAATTTAAAAAATTAAATTAGCTTAATTTTAATTTTTCTTTTGTTTATTTTCCTCGGGATCATAAATAACTACAATAACTTCTCAATTATAATAATTATAAGCTTCCTCGGGATCATAATTATAAAAAAGATAAGTTAATTAATGAATAATTAATGAAGACAGGAATTGTTGCTAAAGTTTCCTTCTCGAGCATTTTTTTAAATTTATTTTTGAAAACTTTGTAAAATAATTAGATTGGCAACGAAACAATTCCTCAGAGTAATAGAGTAATTGAATATCCTTAATAACCAATATTTTTGGATATCATTTTGAATATTAAGTAATTTGTAAGTGGAAATTTTTGCTAGGAATTCATTTGACGACAGAAATTCAGATGAGTTGTTAGTTCATTCGAATTTCTTATTGACAGGCTTATTCTTGTCGGCGACATGAATTCTTCCGAACTCTTATCTCTCAAACTTATAATCTATCCATTGAGCTGACCTTTCTCACTTTTCCTGGATACTGAGAAAAGAATAGCATAGAATAGCCCTTTTCTAAATATTATTTTATAGGCTTTATTTCTATATATTATAGGCTATAAATGAGTAATAATGGATAAATGATAAAAAATTTTTAAAATTTAATTTAATACTTTGAGTCATAAAAGCACTCTTCTAGAAATTCTCTTAATCACCAATTATCACGATCCACCATTTCGGGTTTGGCTAACTACTGTTTACTATTGTTTACTAGATTACAATCCTTCCACTCTTCATTTTCGGATCCCAGATTTCATTTAGTGAATGATGCCTTGACCTTATAGAGCAACATACCACTCGGTATCCTTGCCCATATTATATAGAAACTAATAAATATGAAATAGAAATCGCTTGTTTAATGGATGAAAATAATCACAAAATTACCCATTGAATAGGTATAGTAAGTAACGTTCATTGTCTTGATATCTTCTCTTCGTTTTGGTGCAGAATTTTGATCTTTATCATTTGCAGAGGAAGAATAAAGCGAAGGTGATGAAATTTTGCCATTAGCAGCAAAACTATTGAAGGCAATACTGGAAGCGAGTTTATTTTCGCTGATATTTGTCCAAGATGGAGCATGCTTTGGTTCATTAACAAGATTCAAATATTCTGGCAGAATGAAGTTCGCTCTAAGCTCCATTTTATGCAGAAAATCGGATCCGGTTGAAAAATTATCTATACATTCTGATACTGAACTAGAAAATATTTCCAAAGACTGAGCAATTTGGACAGAATATAGCTTATATTCTACGATCCTCTTGCTCTGACAGGAATTTGATACAAAGGGTTACTAAAGAATAAAGAGCTACTGATTTATGAACTTCAGTATCGAAGCTTTGGTTTATTGAGACGAAATTTTTCGAAGTTGAAGTTATTGTGTATTATGTTGATTTTATGAAAGGGTGGCTCTTACTGACAAATACATCCCTTTGCGCCATCCTTTCTAATGTTCAAGTTCGTTTTTTCCCTTTCTAATTTCTAATCTCCTTCCAATTTCTAATTTCCTGTAGCGATTTTTTCTATCAGTCAATACATGAAAAATAAAAGAAGAAAGTAAGTGGTTGGAACTCACCATTTCCAACTTCAATTGCTCCTCTCGCTCTCAGGACAAGACTATTTAGCCAGAAGGCCAACTAGAGATAGAAGTGAATCCATAAATGAATCCTCAGCATAAGCCAGATTTCATTTTTTAATGACAGTTTTTTCTCATCAAACAAAGGAAACTTATAATGTTTTAACCTCAGTCATACGAAATACCACTCGACTATTCTGCTTCTTTACTTATTTATATACCTATTCTCTATTTATATACCCCTTATCGTTATTCCAAACTATTTGGATTTGATAAAATAGTCTGAGATATAAAGATGATAAAAAAGAAAAAATGAGCCATGGTATTGAGAAAAGGCATTTCATGACTGAATAGTCAGTGGCACAACTATAACGTAAAACTTGCTTTGAGAACGCTATATGAATTTTTTGACTTGTCCCATCCATATGGTGATAATATATGTCAACGCTCCGACAACATGCACCAACCAGCTAGAATTGTATTCTCGATGTTCTACTATCTTTTTGGCTTTTAATTTTGCAAAACTTGCTTTGCATTTTAATCTCCTAGCGATTTCTATCGATTTGCTTGTCGGCAAATTTCATTTATTTTAATCCTATATAATAGCAGTTAGTTAATATTCGAATAAACATTAAAATTAAAACCATTAAATTGCATCCAAATAAAAGGAGCGTAAAAGTATTCAGTACCAAAACAAATGAATATATTTAGTAGAGATCGAAAGATTTGCCAGTGCTTTAACCAGTGAAGCCAATAATGATATGAGCTATTAGAAGAAAGCTCTAGTTTTACTTAATTGCCTTGGATTGCCTTTTTAGCTTACCAATAGCAATGAAGTCAATGATATATTCGAACTCATTCGAATCAAAATGCAAAGATTGCTTTAAAAGACGTAAATTAGCTGTAACCTTTAGTTCGAGAGCTTTATTAGTTGTCGTTTATTGTAAGAATTGTATGATTCGTCGGTGAATAAGGCTTGACTTCTTTTAAAATGAAAGAAGGTGAAAATTATTTATAGTCATTTCTAATTGTAATAAATTTTCATGTTAATTCTTTCCCTTCAAATGAAATAAAAATATTTCTAATGGATTTTTGTTTGAAATGTTTGTTTGCTTAGGTTGAAGAATCCGATAAAATTTAAGAGTATATATGGAGAAATTTTTTTCTTAGAAAGCTAACTAGAAGTTTTGCCCTTATTAAATTTGCTATTCCTCTATCTTTTATTGCCTTTAATAAAGACGCAGGAGTCTTGTATCATAAGTACCATCACAGCGGATTTGCAGATATTTCCTTTTTTTCCATTTTTCATTCTTTATTTTCCATCTTTTTTAATGAATATTTTTATATATCCTATTTATTATTTACAAAATTTATAAAATTCATGCAAAATTTCTGGTGTAAATTGATTCAGTTCTCTGCGAAGTTATTTCCAATTGAAGGTTGCGGCTAATATATATAAATAAGACATAAAAATGCTTTTAAAACTTTAATCGATGTTGAACAAACACCTTCCCAGCAATGATAAAAAATCACCTACACTTCTATTCCCAAGTGAACCTTTGCAGAATAAATCTCATTCTAATAGCCAATAGAAGAAGACAGAAGTAATGAATATCTTTAGAAAAAGGTCGACAACTAATTATTATTAGTAGCAGATATAGCAGCTGAAATAAAGTTTTTGACTTTTTGTTAATCCACAAAATGAATATCTTGAAACAAGTAAGTTATAATTTAGTAATCATTCATATTTGAATAAAGAGATTAATCACTTACCCTGAGGAGGAATATCTCCTTGTTCTGGATTAGCTGGGGCCGGCATAATTGCAGCTGAAATAAATTTGGTAATTAAATCGATATTATTATGCAAAATTGGTAATTTCTCGTGTAATGGTTGCCAGAAACACAAAAAAAAGCCAGGTGTGAAGAATCATTCCTTTTAAGAGAAAAAAATCTCCAAACGGTTTAAATTTTGTTAATTGTTTTCCGATATTCTTAGGCAAGAAACTGTACGGAATTCTTAAGACCAAGAAAATGGAAAAATATCCATTATCCAGCCTTCTGTTTCTGAATTTTAAGATCATTTTATCTAGGTTAATTTATCTCCATCGTAATTTATTCATAAAATTTCAAAGAATAGCCAGTTCATATTTCATATGTTTATTTTTTATTAGCAGAAATTTCATTATCCCTGCATTTTGCCTTTTAATCAATGAGGAAACATTAGTGATCCTCACCAATTTCAATTGAATAAATAGGTTTAAATGGGTTTTTCTTCAAACCATCTATCGAAAAAAACCCCTTGTATCTAACATCAACTCCTTGTGTCAAAGTTGACTGATTCATGCTTCTACAAATTTTTCTAGTGAAAATGTTTTAATTGTTTAAAAAATAAAATAATAATCATTCGTTGGATCTTAGACTTCGATCCAGAAAATTTATGTATTAATTGGATATATTTAATATATTAATTATGTATTCAATTATGTTTAAATGAATTTGGAATAGAATTCTTTGTAGAAAAATAACTTAATCGAACAGTTTTTTTCGGTGAAAAGGTGGAAACTGAGCCTTATTAACGAGAAGATATAAATTGGGAAAAATAAAGTTTATCATTAATTTTTCCAGTTCTACCTAAAAATTTCATTCTAGCATAATCAAATTTTTCATAAGTTAAAATCCCTAAAGCTTGGATGCAGTTTCTTGGTGAAAACTATTAACTCCTTGCTGTAATAAACGAGAAGGATTTTTTGAATATTTTTAGATACACATTGAATTTTCTGGAAAATTACAGACGAGTAACACGATATTTATTCTATATTTATCCGTAAATAATCATTATCATCGAGGTATTCAATTAACCAAAACTATATGAATAATAATATAAAAACTAGGTGGAATCAAGCAGGTTAATTAAATCATAGAATGAAATATATAAAATACAGATTGAACAATAGAAGATTTATCGACAACAACATATATTTGTTGAATTCGCCTTTAAACACAAAACACTTGGAGCAACGGCGAATGAACTAACATTACACCAGAAGATATCCCTTAATTGAATGCTCTCGAACTATTTCTTTCAGCGGTTGAACAGCAGCGTTATAACAGATAAGAGACAAGCGAGGAGAATATACGATAAACCAGAGTTTTCCTCAGGGCGTGAAGCTCTAAGAATAGCACTCTTATGCTTCTCCCCCTCATCCTCTCTTAACTTTTCTCGAAACTCAGATTTTCTCTTATCAGATCAAAATATACGAAACTATGGTGTATGCTGCTGTTCAATCCAGAGCTTGTGCTGATAAAAATTTATGTTCGTCCACATTCATAACGTATCACCATTCGCTATCACCATCACCATCATCATCATCATCATCATCATCGTTCATTTGTTTATCACATCCTCGAAACTAAATTTTATAATATCGCTACAAATAATTTAAAAAATCAAAATCATATGCTGATTTTTATATCCAGTTTATTGATATCTAGTTTGATAGCACAATATAAATTTAAAAAATATCCTGGATCTTTTTTTCAAAGAGGAAAAACCAATGAAAAAATTAGTTCTTAGACTTCTGACTTTGAGGATAATTATATCTAATTATATCGATGCAAGAGTAGATCGAAGATCCATAAAGAGATTTCTTAGGATAGTTCATTTTATTTCGAATTATAAATTATTCTGCCACTCGTTTATTTTATCATTAAATTATTATTAAAACATTGTTCAATTCCAGTTTGCTTCCACCATGCCACTGTCAGTCAGAAAATTTAAATGAATTTTTTAATATGTGGTACTAATTTTCATAGAAATGTTAAACTTCCATTTCACCGTTTAACAAATACAATATTTCTACTGGAGAAAAGTAGCCGTGGCATATTATTTCGACTGAAGAAATCGTGATAACTTCTATGCTTTACTTTATTATAAGCGCTTATTAAGAAAATTTGTCGTGAAAAGCGAAATTTACAGAGTGCTAGAGATCACTTTATGCTTCCTCAAAAATCTTTTTGACAAATGGTTATTATAATAACAGGTGAAGCCAGTCAAACGCGAAATGGTGAGTGGCATTAGGAGAAGAAATATTTCTCGCAAATTTCTCCATGTTTATAGCCGTATTATAGTATGAAAGAATTTAAAGTTCTACGATTATCGCAAATTTTTAAAAAAGTGGCAGTCAACTGCAATAACTGCACTTTGATAGCTAATTAAAGCGATTGTTGGACTAAAATTGCCACAGAAAAAAGCTCATAATAATGAATAATTGGAGAAATATTTTGTGATTAAGTTGACCTCTCTTGCAGTGGCGTAGTCTTTTCATTTATTTGATCGGGTAAATTGGATAGCACTTTTATGAAAATATGTTAGCGAAGAACAATGAGCTTTGCCGTTATGAGTAAAATAATAGTGATTATTCGATTCCATTATTTGATTTATTCTCACTTAAGCTCTCAGGATTCATTATTTAAGTAGCTTTCCACGACTGAGTTTTATTCCTTTATTAATAACATTAAATATTTTTAGCTTGAGCGATTCCACTGATTATGCTCCTTCGCCAAAAAGCCATTCGAAGATAAATGGTTCATTATTTAATAGTAGACTTACGATATAGGAATCAAGGCTACGGTGGCTTGGCCTAGTCAAAGAAATATGCCGTTCGACCATACTCTTCCCATTTTATTATTCATTTGGGAAATATTCTGCTTTAAGTTATTAAATTTTGTTCGAAATTTTAAGCAATAGAACCCAACAAATGGTAGAAAAAAAGGTAAAAAAATCGGAAGAAAATCAATTCATTTGAGAATTTTCTCGAAAGTCACAAAGTTATACTTTCTATAAAAAGTTCTAGTTTATATATCAAGTATAATTATTTCAAAAATTTATAGCAAAATATAAATTCTCAATAATTCACAAAATCAGACAACAACCTGTATTTTCAAGTTCTATCATTAGCCTGGGTATTCTAATATTAATATAGATTTGAATAAGATCCGGGCGGTGGGACCTTATCATTAAAATCCTTTTATAAAAATTTCTTCAATAAATTTTTGATAATAAAAAACAGGTAAAGCCTATTTAATGAATATGAATATGGTTTAGGTGGTGTTTTAGACAACCGGATATAATAATGTTCTCGTTAAGCCTAAAGATTGAAAAGAGTAAAACTTTTATTTCAACTAGACATCAAGTGTAAAGTCGATTCGTCGTAATAATGAAAACTTCACTTCGATCGCGAGGAAGACTGAAATGCTTGAAAATATCGTGCTAACTTGATGCAATACTTTTACAAAACATTCAAAGAGCTTAAGATATCATCCACTGAATTTGCTTCAGAACTGCTAACCAACTTATATAGTTCCGATACGAGAAATGATTTTATTCAAGCTTGAATTCGATGGCAAATTATTCATAAAAAAAGCAAGAATTGAAACTCCAAGTATTTTGATCTTGACACTGATTTAAATTTACCTCAGTTCCTTTTATATTCTATTCGTTTTTTTTTTTCTTAAGAGTTTTCACCATTACTGGTTCTCTCTCGCTCAACTAACTCAGCTGGCTTGTCAATAGAAATACAGGTGAGTCGCCAGCATCATCCGGATTTATGGACAGGTTTATTCATGCGGGGAATAAAATCTTAATATCGGCGCTCCAAATTGAGCAACTAAACCATCCTGTCCCCATTCTACTGGTATTAGAATAAAGTTTAAATTCACCCCAATGGTTATGAATATAGCGAAAGACGTCAAATGAAATTGAAGATCCTCAACATTGCCTGAATTTGCTACAGGTTGATTTACTCCTGTTTAGAGCAACAGTGATTCATAACATGATAATTCCTATATATTAGGTGAAGTGGACGAAATAAGAAAATTGTAATAATCCTAAAAAATGAGCAGCATTGCTCAGACATTTTTATTTTATTTATTTACTGAAAACCAACCAAGCAGGACGGCAAGCGCCATATGCTTGTATTAATAACAATAGTAAAAATAAAAAATAATGAAAATTAATTACAAAATAGGAAAATGTGACAAAAATTAACAAATTAAAGAAAAATAATAAGTACAGTTCGAAGTAACTGTTGACACATACAGCTTGATGGCGATCTTTTATGTAATCTGACGCACAGTTATACAGGTCCACTGTAATGCCATAACTATTAAGAGTGATCAACAACTTTCTACGGGAAACAGTGCAAAAGCTTTGGCTAAATCTAGGTACACAATTTGATATTTTTCCATTATCAATTGATACTATCAATTGATATTATCAATTAAAAAATATTGGTTAAATGTACTTATATTATTGATATTATCAATTGATACTGGCCAATCGAAAAGACTTGCCAATATTTGTGAAGAAGTAGACTTTTTTTGCAAAAAGACATGCTGATATTAAATTGTGGATATTAAATTATTGAATTATTGAATTATTAAATTGGCATTAAGATAAGTAAGCAACTTGCTATAAATTTACGAATCAACCTTCCCAGTACTTTGCTACCAATTGTTGTTACTTTAAGCCTGTAATTAAAAGGATCACAGGTGCTTCTTTTTTTATGAATGGGAATTATATGAGACAATTTCCAAATTTTGGGATTAAAGCCAGATTTCATAATATCCTCATAAATTAGAAATAGGGGAAGAATCAGAGAGACTATACATTTTTTATAAATTATTTGTGAAATATTATCGGGACCAGCTGAAATTGCACGGCTTGAGTCTATTCAAGATAAATATCTAATAAGATTATTTAGTCTCATAGAGAGAAATGGAACAAGTACGATTTACATTGAAAAAAGTACCATGAGTATTATCGGCAACAAATATACTGAAAAAATATTGATTAAATGTACTTGCAATATCGATATCAGAGGTAATCAGAGGTGATCAAATTATCATTATGTTGCAAAATTATTTGTTGACTTGGATATGCAAATTTTCTTTTACTTCATTTTTAATGACAAAGTTTTTTAATGACAAAGTGGAAAATCACAAAATTATAACTTTCTAATTTCAACCATAATTCGGAATGCTTATAGCATGCCATAACACAAAGTTATTCCAGTCAACAGAGAGGAAGCGAATGATGTTTCGTCAGTATCAAAAGAAGTTTTTACTCGATTATCTCATCCCTATTTTTTGTTATCTTTTGGATCAAATCTCCAAAATTTATGTAATTTTTTGGGAATTTTTAAATTTTGCACATTTTTATTTGATAAAAAATATTTCGAAAATGTAATAGAAAATCACATAAATTGAATGAAAAAATATAGAAATAAGTAAATTATAGTAATGAATGATGTTCAATAATTTTTCCATAGCGCAATTCACCCAAATAACGAAGCGTAGCGCTAAACATTAATATTTTACCTATTACACTAAAAATACAGGCATGGGCCATGTTTTGAATAAACCATTGACCAATACTAGCCAGCCAATATTTTGATTGCTGGAAAATCACAAAATTGTGACCTTCTAATTTCAGCAACAACCATAATTCGGAATATTTATAGCATGCCATAAATATGACCGACATTCCAATGAGTATCTAAATTAAAAATTTTTTTATTACTTTCAAACCATTTTTTTACTATTTTGGTATGAAATTTTGCATTTCCTTCAGACACAAGACTCTTTCTAATAACATCTCGAACTATCTCTAATTCAATTTGATCCAATGACTAATAGGATGAGGCTTCTTTGAAACATAGGGATGGGAGAAAGGCTGGATCGCAACTATCATCTGATATCACAGATTAAATGGTAGTCATACTGAAATTTCACTCATTTCCAGTACTACGTTTGACAAAAATCATTGTTGTAAGTTCCATGATTATTAATCGTTTGTGCTCTACATTTATTACGCAAATACCTTTACAAAAAGGTTTGGTGGACCAAGCCTAATTTTTTACTCGACATATAGTTGTTGACTTTTTTTAATGCAACACAAATCTGTATATCAATAAATTTGAAAATTGGTAATCTCACTCTATATTTTTGCATATGATAATAGGAATCAATTTTATCAATAGGAAAATTGGTAATCTAAGCCTAAGCCTAAGCCTAAGCCAGTGAACTAAATCTGTTCTAAAGTGCCTCCCAACTGAACTTTGTATTGAATATTGAATATAACTCACATAATCTATTGATTCCCAAGACGCTTCTACTGCAACACTTGAAGTAAGCCACGAGTATAAAGCAAATGGTAATAAAGATGTAGCAATTAGACCTAAATTTAACAACAATTTAACACAGTGATTAATATAGTAATTAAAAGTAGGAAAAAGCCTATATAATATAATTAATTATAATAATCTCATTTGGAAACTTCTCGTCTTGATAAATTTAGCAGATATTTTTTTACGGTATTTGGCAAATTATCTTTATTATTATGAGAATAAGTCTCTCGAATGGCTCTAAAATTCTAAATACCAGTATAAAATAGGATGAAAAACTCGGGTTGATTTGCTTTAGTTTCATTATAACACTTCCGCAACTGAATTATTTGAATGGCCAACAAGATGGCATGAATAGGACAAAAAAACAGTGCCAGAGTTGAATACTCGATTATCCCGAATTCCAACCAACTTAAAGAACCACCAATACCAATTGGCAACTGCAAATTTATAATAAATTAAAAGAAGCTATCAAAATAAATCTGTTCTTGTATCATAGTGAGAGGAATCAATTCGCAACAGTTCAATAATCTGATTTTTTATGAATTTACCAGCGAACCAAATCTGTTCTAAAGTGTCTCCCAACTGAACTTTGTATTGAATATATCTCCGTATAATATTTCCTCTATTACCATTGCATTTTACAGTAATTCTTTTTCAATTAAGATAATTTCACCAAACCATTGAATTGTTGCGTTGACTCCTCTTCTACCAGTGAATCTTGTAGAGGAAGAAGGATAAATGGATTCTCAGATTCCACACCACTTAAAATAATCTTATTATTTCTTCTATATATTATCTCTATATTTCTATATATTTACTCGCAATTTCAATTAAAATTTATATTTCGCTTAATCTATACTTACTGTTTCGCTTAATAATTAATACGCATCAAAAATGCCAAAAATTTTTTTCAAATTTTAAATGGCTAAAAAATAATGATACTAAAAAATTACATTTGTCTTGTCTTTAATTCAAGAACAGTTCGAATTTCGACAAATTGAGGAATATTTCAAATTTTTTTAAATCGTTGATCCAAAAAATAATATATTCGTAAGATTTATGCATTTTCAGATATCTTGGAAAAATCAGAATGAAATTGAAATTAATAACAAAAGAAGTATGAAAATAATAAAAGTTTAAATTGCTCACAAGAATTCCATAAGAATTTGATCCATTCGAAACTTGTCTATCATATTTCATCACCGTTATAAGGGTAAGAAAATCGAACAGTCTAAAAAATATTATTAGGAAACATAGATGGTAGAGTAGTAGGATAGAAAATTAGCCTTCCTCCTCTAAGGAATCTTTTTGATTTTCTTTTTCTAATGAAAATAATGAAAGTTTTCGCCTTCACTAAAGCTGTTCTATCTCACAAATTTGCTTAAAGAGACATAAAAACTCTTGTGATAATAAAATTTCCAATAACAGTGCAAATTGGAGCAGAGAAAAGGTAATTTTACCTCAACAAATAGAGGCTGCCAGCCTTCTCTTGCGAATGTACCAGATTCGAAAGGAAGACTTGTAGCACTTGCACGACAATAACATTTCGTAGTTTGCTGATCGAGAATGGTCGATTGATTCGCTTCATTCCAAGCCAATAGCACATTAGCAAAAAACAAAATGTTGATAAATAATGAAGGAAATGAAGAACCACAGTTCGAACATTTAGGACGAAATATAAAGCATTATGCGCAGCAGCTAAACAAAATGATGAGCTAATATTAAGCAAATAATAATAGAAAATATCTTCCAACATTTTCTGAAATTTAAAAATTCATATTCATTAAAATTTATTTGAAATTGAAAACTAAGGCAGCTTCATTTTATTTTATTCAGTCATATGAATTTATTCAACTATTATTATAAGATTATTACAACAGTTAAGATTTATGCTTGTCACTGTTACCAGACGTGACAGATTGAAATTAAGTAAACTACCTGCAAGAGCAGAGACTACCCAATAATTTTTAGAAACCTTAACTGTTGGAACAATTTGTCTGCTGATAGCGTTTTTCTTAATCATGGCATTATCTAAAGTTGCAATCCCACCAAGTATTGGTATTATTTACTGATAATGTTTAATGTTTTTAATGCTTTTTTTATTTTCTTAATTATTATTTTCAGTTTATTGTTATATGATAGAATATTGGAAATGCCTTTCCTTGCTTCTAGATACATTTTATTAGCAAATTGCTTTTTTGCCTAAATCTAAGTTTTCTGAATCACGAATTCATGGAGGATTTGCAAGTGATTAAAAGCAATACCTAAATGGCTAGTTAGTTTTAGTTCGTCTAGTAGGGGATGTTGCGAGTGATCTGTCGCTCCCTGGCAAAAAAATTCCAACTTTACTTTATTTACTTATCTAATCAAACAAATAAAAAATTAGAAACCAAGTAAATAATTAATGAAAGAGTTTAGACGCAGAAATATTGCCAAATTACATTATGATAAAGGAGTTAGGCAAATTAAATTTAGAATAAATTCTTATCTCCGAAATTATCTTTTACTCTTCCACAATCATATCTTTTAAGATCATCTTAGTTCGATGACCATTTCAACAGATTATCAATTAGTAGTATGATTGATAATAAATTTTGGACTTTATCCGAATCCAAGACTTTTTTTAAAATCATTAGTGCATCCAAAAATTGCAGAAAATATGCCGCATCAACACTGAAAAAAATATTCTAGATCTTTGAACAGTGGGTCCTTCGGAAATGAATAGAATAGCCGAATGCACGCACAATGGTTAAAATTATCGCACTGAGAGGTGCAGCTTCTGCCTCGATAGGACAAAATTCCAAAAAACTCGAGTGGTCAATCCACCCGAACTTTCAATTGGCTATCTGGCAAAAATTTGTAAAATTCAATTGATTTCGAATTTTAGCTTGATTTTTTTGCAGATTCCTCTATAATATAACGGCATTTTTGTTATGAAAATAATATAAAATAATGCCAAAAAATGGCCAAAATATTTAAAGAGAAAACAACCAAAGGTTTGCAGAAAGAACTCCTAAAATTAATTGGAAACGTTGATTAAAGAAGCTTTTTTCCGGTTTAATTTTAATTTTTAAATTACAAAACAGCTCATATCCAAAGAATGACCATTTCATCAAGTTATATTCCAATTAAAATTTTTTACTCGGAACAATGAAGATGCATTTTAAAAACTATAAAACTGCTGGTACCATATTTTACCTAGAATTCGCCATTTGTCATTGTTTGAGTTCCTATTTTATCCAATCTAACAGATTTGATTTCTTGATATCCGTTATTCATTTTTTAGAAATTGTAGCTACCGTCATTAATGAAACAACTCCTCTCTACATAAGTTATTAAGCTTTGCAAATAGATAATAACCGTTTGAATAGGAATTTCGTAGGGACATATGACTTTTATACCAATGATCTGCTCTGTCAAAAAAAAACTATCATAATTACACATTAATAAATTAACACATAATAACACATTAATAAATTTATAAAATTTATTAATATTAATAGAATGAATTAATATTGGATGAATTAATAGAAATAGTATAAGAAAGTACTGCTGGCTGGGCGACTCATCGGTACTTCTATTGTACTTCTATCACCAATTGACTGGTTGAAAATATCTGACCATACCAATGGCCAGCGAAACTAACTTAACTGGAGATCATAGGTTTATTATTATATAGGTTCATTATACATTATAACTTTATTTCTATTAATTTCTATTAACCAGCTGGTCATTCCATGATATCCCAATATTTTGATAAATTATTTTTCAAAATTCAGAATTTCAAAATTTCAGAATTCTAAAAAAAGGCTCCGCAAAAATTCAAGAAAAAATTTAATTTTATTTTGATGTTAAGGATATTACAAAATTAATCATAAAAAAAGACGATCATCCAGCGAAAATCATTTTCATCAAATCATCACCAGTATATTGATTTTCATGACTTTTTCGCTTTTTCTTAATAACGGAGCGTTGCTCAATTTGCCGCTGGAATTTATCCCAAACTCCTCCCTTCTTCAGCACCTTAAATAAGAATATATAAAAAAATGAATATTCATAAGACGAAAATAAACTAAATTCAATAGCGCACTATATTCAAAATTCTCGAAAAAAAAAAGAATACCTGATAGACCTAACAATTTTGATTAAAGAGAAGTAAAGAGAAAAAATCGTGCATCAGCGTAGAGAAAAAAATGCTATTTGGAAATTTAACCTTCTCCTCAAGTTTTTTTAATTGTTTTCCCTTTTCGACCTGTTCCGCAAAGAATGAAGCCTGTTTTTTTGCCTGAGAAATTTCAGCATGCATTCGCATTTTTTCCAGTTTTTGTTCATAATTCAACTGCTCATTTAAATGGTACCACTTGAAACTGAAACTGAAAATAATTTAAGCTCCCTATTAATTTTAGATATAAAAACGAAAATAAACCTGTATGATGCAAAAATCGAAAACCCTATACCCGGAGAGATATTTCATGGTCCAAAGTGTTTCTCTGGCCATAGATCTCCGCTTTCCACCAACAGGCATAGCATTCAAATATTTCGCGACTTGTTTTGCTATACTCTTCCTTTTGAATTCAACCCAACCTTCAACATATCTTCTTCCATGCTTTCTTCCACTTTTTTGTTTTTCACGCTGAAAATATGAGGAATCATTTGAGTGGAAATAGGAAAAACGCATTGTGAAAAGCGAAATCATAAAATGGAAAATAGCTAAATATACGAAAAATGCTAATATGAAAAGATTAAAATCCACCTGCAAAAATATGCGCCCAATTTCTCCATATTTACTCATCTCTTCCCTCATCCTTGAGACGGTAAAATTAGGTGGAACAGTTTGGAGATATATTATGCCACTTTTTTGTTCCTTTGATTCAGGATGCTCACCTTCTTTTAACGGCCGACGATTAGGAAGCTTTATTTTCTTTCGTTTCTAATTTTTTTATTAGTAAATATCGCCGAAATAGTTAAAATAAAACTATGAAACAAATGTGAAGAAAAATATCAATCAGTCTAAGTTCAATAAGATTAACCGAATTAAAAACAAAATTAACTGAATGAAAGATGGATTAAATGAAAGTTACCTTCAAGGAAAGCTTTAGATCTATATCTGACCCATCAGAAAAATCGAAATCAATAGTATCATCTTCTTTATCATTAATTTTCGAAATGCTTGTCTCCCCTTCCATCAATTTCTCTTGTGAATTGTTGTTAAAAGAAAAGTTGCATTGACCTGTCACATTATTTTCTTGGCTTTTAAAATTTTCCGTAACAGGATTCTTGGACTTTTTTTTCAAAAATTTTTTCCTAAATTAGTCCATTTACGAAAAATGGATATCATCTAAAGATAAAGATCAAAGGATATCTAGTCATGTCGGTGATAATCAGTTTCATCAGTGATATCCTTTGATCCATAAAAATATCTAATAAAAACTTATAAAAATACATTAATAAATAAATAATTAAATAAGAATCCAAAGGAAAAGAAAAAAAATATTCTAAGCAGGATATGCTTTGTAAAATCAACATTTTTATATTTCGAACAATTCCACAACTCTCTATAGATGAAACTGATTCATCAGTATGCCTATCTTGAGAACTGACGATTTCGTTCGATTTTCGTGATATAATTCTCTTCCGTTTTCTAAAGCAAAAATCCATCATTCGACTTTTTCAAATGTTCAATATAGATTTAATATAAATATTCAATATAAATTGAAAACTCTAAACGGTAAAGCTCGAAAGAAAAGGAAACAAAATAATTATGGTTGATTTGCAAATTTTGATGGAATTTAAATAAAAAATTAAGAAGCTTTCACCTGTTCTTTGGCGCAGATTGAATAGAATCGGAAATGCTAACCGTTTCAACGAATGTGACAGATTCGTCTATCATCTAAATACTTATACTTTAAAATTTACATCCACGATAAAAGACGATATATAAGACGATAAGAAGATAAAAAATTCATTTTATAGAATTCATAAAATATTAAACAATCGATCAGCAAATTTCATTTTCTATCATACACGCACCGAAAAAATTTATTTTTATTTTCATAAAAAATATGATTACAAAAAGTGATTAAAAAAGTAAAAAAATAAGAAACAAAATTTTGCTCCATTACTTATGAAAATTACTAGAAAGTTTTCCACTGGACAAAATCATTTTGTCTATTTTTACTGCAAATTTCTAATGCAAAAGAAAGAAAGCCATTCTCTATTATGTCTTCTAGAAGAAGTTAGGTTTAATCCTGAAATACGTTATGAGTTGAAATCCTCTGATATTCTTCAAAATCTCCTAAAAAACTTCCTTAAACCTCACTGGATGCTCTAAAATCTTTGGAATTTGCAATGTCCAACGGCCTAATCGTTTTTGCTTTAATTTATTTTTAGAAAAAAAGTAAGCACGAAAAATTAAAAAGAGAAGTTTTCGGTTGCATTTGAGGCAAACAGTGTTCGCCTTTTCTTCTTTTTCCGTTTCCCTCTTTAAAAATTTGAGAAACGATGTTTAACAAAGAATAACATCGTATATAAGATGATAAGACGATAAAAAATTCATTTCATTTCCTAAATTTAATAAAATGAGTCAATCTGAATTTATTTTAAAAAATTTAAAATTCAAAAATTCATATTGGATAAATTAATTGATTAAAAAAGGCCGTGAAAACATGCAGAATGAAGGAACGGTTTAGGATCAAACGAATTACCAGAGATTGATCAAATCTTCAACAGAGACAACATTAGAGTTTTCTAAACAATATTCGCTCATAAAAATTTGGCAATCCTTGGGAGCGATAGAATTACAAAGCAATATTTAGCTTAACGCCTCTCATATTTGAACCATACAGTTCTGAAATGATCATTTCGAGATTATTCATACATTATAATAGTATTTCCAAGCCAAGGAGTAGCAAAGTAGATAGCGGATGGTTGAGAGATAAGAGTTCGGCTCCTGCCCCCGACATTAAAAAGACGCCAGCGAAGTCCATGATAAAAATTTTCAACCTCAAAACTTCAAAAAAGCTAGCATTATCAGAAATGTTGTCGAGTGCTGAACCTCCTATCTATTTTTCTACTTTCATCAGTTTGATGATTTGGCATCATGAAATCGTTTAATAACCATTTTAAATTTTGCAATTCAGTTTTAAAATTTCTCATAGAAAAAAATTCTAATCAGACAAATCAAAATTAATTATATTAGCTGCAAACAGTTTTCAACAGAATACAAAACAAAATCCTCGAAAAATGAGAATAAAAACTGAATAACGAAATTTTCTAAAAAATAAAAAAGCCTTTCATCCATTTCAATAATTTGACTCGACATACACGAATTATTCATAAGCAAAGCTAAAACTTCTAATGGCTAAAAGGCTGATAAAACACTGATAAGTCACCTTGAATTCAAGTGCCAATGATTTCGGTCGCAGATCCTTAAACGTTGCCATTGGAAGTTGGAATCTTGATAATTGCTAAAGGCTCATCTGTTTCCGCCTGTTTCTATCTCCAAGCGACTCTCTGAAATCCCAGCCTGCCAATGAAGTCAGTCGCTTCAAAAAATGGTGAGTGAGAGAAATATTTTACCAATCGACCGGAAGAAGAATCCTATCCAACTAACAATGAATTTGCATATCTCGTCACAGTTATTGTACCACAGAAATGCCCGCTCGTCTGTGTTTTCACAAAAACTTTTTGAATGTTTCGCTTTTTCTCAATTTTACGATATGATCCAACGAAACACAGACTTTTTACGTTTTTGCTATTCTGCAGCACTCGCGGTTTTTTATGCTTCCTCTGCTGGCACTCTAATTTTAGCCACCTGCAAGAATATAGGTGAGTCTCCAATACCACTCGCGCAGGCCGCATATGACAAACTAAAATTATAATCAATATACTTGGCCACACTGCTCCAAAGAATGCGATCAGACTGAAATGAAATTTTAAAAAGGTCAGATCCAGCGATCTCCTTTTACCACGCGCGTTTCACGGCTGGTGATACTGCTTATTCCCGTTAAAAACAAAGGCCTGAACCTGTCATGCTTGAACCCATACACCACAGTCAGGCGAAATACCACAAACATGAATAATTGGTTACAAATTAGCATACTCCCAAAGATAACAATATGAAAACCATAAAATATTAATTTCGTTAGTTTTTTGCGGACATTAAATTCCCAAATACGGCCGATGAATCGTAAAAGTCAGTTGTGGCTATTATACTTGGATAGTTTAGCCACTAGATTTTCGAGTTTGGGAGGTCTAAAATCTAGGCGATAAGATATATTAAAGCGAGCCGGAAGAATCACCCGAATTTATAAAAGACACATTTACTTGTTCCAGGAATAGAATCCCTGCATCGACCCTCCGAAATGAAAGCAACAATCAGCTGAGCTATTTCATTTCATTTTTCGTTTTATTGATTTTTTCTTTTTCTTTCCAGAGAGATTTCTATAGTTGACAAGGAAGAGAGGAGTGGAAGAGTTAATCAGACACTTTATAAATATTACATATATAAATTGTAACGTAAAAAATAAAAAGATAAAAAAAATATGAGAATTTTAAGAAATAGAAGCAAAATCACACACAGAAAACTTTGGTACTTTTGGGTTATCTCAGTCGACAGCAATCACTTACTGGACCTTTGACAATGTTGTACATATAAAAATACTTACAGTTCTAGATCTTCGAAAAAACAAACTGATAAACCACTTAAAAAATTTCAAACGAGTATAAACCGGATAAAAACAGAAATAAATGCAAAAGTGCCAGATTCTAATATATTATTTAATTCTTAAAAAGATAATAGTTTTAAAAAAAATCATTTTATTAAAACAATTTAACTACAAAATAAAACAATAACAAATAACAAATTTTAAAAAATACCACTTAGTTGTCGAATGGGATTCGCGGAACTATATAAGACTCTTTATCAGCTAAATTAAGTTGATAAACCACTTAAAAATTTCGAATGAGTGCAAACCGGATCTTGGTTAGGTACCAACCATATGGAAATGCCCAACTGATTTGATAAAATATTCAACGAGGATTTCTTGAAAATGTATCGACAACTACTTACCCCAATATATGTTTCGCGAATTCCAAGTGAGTTACAGCTGAATTATGCAGTAATATATTTTACTCGAATAAGGCTGATATATGGAAAATATAGGCGAATTAGGAATACTTTAGAAATATTTCCCGCTTTTCTTTTAAATTTTTTTATTTGACTTTTCGCATGAAAAACTTTTTTTATCCACAAAATATATAAGAGCATCAATGGAAGTATACTAAATTCTAAAAATTTTAAATAAAGCAAAACTACGTATATAAAAATTTGCTGTTTTTTTTAAAATATGATATTCATGTTTATAAAAAAAAATCTCGGTTAGACAACTTTTTTTGTATCATCTATTTTGCATATTTTCGAATTTGATCGCGATTTGTGTAAATCATTGACAAACTGAATACCAGCCTTGCGTGCAGCTCTTCCTGCAATAGAACGTGGCCCAAGATCCCAAATTTGGAACGCTGCTAAGGTAGTATGACCAGTAGCAAACAATGCATTATGTGTTACTGTCGATGCATCGTCACCATACCTAAAAATTTCGATTACAAGAAATTAATAAATAAGGAAATGCAAAAAAATATGAATATTCATATTATATTTTCTGCAAATATACTCTCTGGTATGGCGAAAATACCAGATGATTGGAGCAAAACCATTCTGCTTCCAATTCCTAAGAAAAGTGACAGGACGTGACAATTATCAATGAAACCTACTAGACATCTCTGAAAAACTTTTCGCTTCCTTTCTGCTAAATAGACTCATTGTAATAGCAAACAGCAGGATATCGCTCAAGCTGGATTTAGAATAGGGCGCGATAGTGCTGACCAGATATTTACGTTAAGAAGAGTGCAGGAACACGGCTTCAAATATCTGCAATCTACCGTCAAGTTTCACTTCATGGTCTATATGAGGAACTGACTCTTTGAAAATAAGAAATGATGCCCTTTCTCCTCCCCTACAATATTCAACAATACGATAGACTGGATAATGGACATCGCTTATTGGCACCCATGAGGTGAACAAATCAGTCCAGAGTATAGTACCAGAGATCTGGATCTGCATCTGAAAATCTGTAATTTCCTCTTCTTTCATTGGTAATCTCAGTTCTTCAGTATAATCATATTCCGCTTTTTCGTACAAATTATTCGCTTTCAAAATCATCTAAATATAAAATCATTTAAATTCTAGCGCTTGCGTTTAAATCCTTGACAACAAATACTATTGCATTTTTTACAAATTTATAAAATGATTATTATATATTATTACATAGAATTGAAATGCCCTCTTAGTCCCTCTTGCTGAAGTTATAACGAAATGTAAATAATGCTAAACAACGTGTCAGCAACTGCAGCAAAGAATCGGGTTTAAAATGTAACATCTTTTAAACAAAATATCTCTTTCCATAAATACATTGCCGATAGACGAAGTATCCGATTTTAAATGCCTTGGATCCACTTTAATACCGAATATCCAGGGAAAAAACGAAATTACAACCCAAATAAGGGTAGTTAGAAATGTCTTCTTCCTGTTGATGAAACTTTTATGAAGCCATCGGGAAATCACCATAAAAATCATCATGAAAACGAAAATCCGCGTTTATTTAACTGCATTTTGCTCAATCTTGATCTTGCTGTATAGCTGCGAGACATGGTCAATGAGAGTGGAAGATATTAAGAAGTTATTAACCTTTGACCAACCATATCTAAGAAACATCTTATGAATTCGCCCAGTGGATAAAATCTCAAGTGATCGCACCCATCTTTAAATACCACTTACATTAATAGTACCATCACAAAGCGTCGCTTTCGTTTTTAAGGCATTTTTCCTTGCCCCACCTCAAGAGCTGACACATTTCGCTATTTGTCGAATTCTGTAATGAGTGGAGTCAAAAGTTAGGAGGGCCAATCAAGATCTGGACTGAGACAATTATGAAAAATTTTGAATGTGTATTGAATGGACCAGCAATATACAGATTTAGATAAGGAATGGCTATTATTCTATTCTATTATTGTCGGATAGCTTCAGATCAACCAGTAATGGTGGGAATTGTTAGAAGAAGAAGAAGAGAATTTATGAAATATATTAAAAATTAAACTCCATACTTAATTTGAACAATATTCACAGTTTCATTGGCAATATTCCTGCAGAGAGTTTTTGAAGCATTCTCTAAAGCCATCCAAACCGTACTAACGCCTGCAATCCCACCACCAAGGACATCGATTGTTCCTCCAATTATACCACCACCCTTTCCATCGCCGAAACGTTTTTCAGCACTTGAAGCAAGTTGTTGACCAACTGCCACACCAATATCGCCTATTTTGTCTACTAAAAATAAGCAAAAACTAAGATTTTTCGATTATATTGGATTTCGATTTTTTAAATGGAAATGTAAGAAAAACTTACGCAAAAATCTGGTACACTTGGCAATAATTTTGCTTCCTCTATGCACATAGTATACACTAGTTCGTAGTGCTGGACTAATAACAACTGGTTCATCAATGGATTTTAAGGATGATTGATATTTCGTTAAATGATTAGATACTATTTGTGTTGTTTTCTCCGTAGCGCAATCAATACCCCATGCAATTTTTTCACCTCCTATAAGATAAACTCAATTTCCTCTGCAATTAGGCAAATTTCATTCAATCCAAATATAATAAATTAACATTAATAATAACTTAGAAAATCAAATTAGTGATAAGTATTGCAAAAACTATTGCCTTTTATTAATAGCTGTGCAATCTTTTGGCTTGTTCGCAATTTTTCCTCATCACTGAGACATGGCGATATTTCTTTGAATCGAAATTCTGTGTATGTTTTGAGAATTTTCATGAAATTGTCTTCGCATTGCTTATCAAGATCGGATGGCAATAAGATCCCGACAAACATATCTAACACATTACCTTTTAGTATGAATGAAGATTTTCTTAACATCTTCATTACTTTTAGTTATTTATATTTTTAATTTAATATTTATCATTATTAAATGAAAATCACAGCCAAAATATAACTAAAGAAACTAAATATATAGTAAAGTTGACATACCTGGTTTTTTTTCAGTTGGGTTGGGCACTACATATGCACCAAATTCATTTTTCAATATTGGAGTTTTACCACTTATTAACGGATATACCCACGGTCCAACCTGTAAACTTAAGCATCATTTCTGTAATAAAAATTTTATCTCAAACTTTCTTTATAAGATGACCTTGATAAATGCTTGGATATTTTCTGATTGTTCTTGTCTTTGAAAAAATCGAAATATTTCCAATGGAGCTGGAATAGTTGGAGTCGAAATTTCGTCACCCTGAAACATAATTAACTTTCACTTTTCGAATATGTGCTGTAAGGCAATTTGCAAGATGATGGCAATCGCAATACAAAGTTATCCTGGTCATAATGAATTAATTATTAATAAATAAAACAGAAAAGGCAATCGCAATATAAAGTTATTCTGGTCATAATGAAATAATTATTAATAAATAAAACAGAAAAACTAATAAAATAAAGAAAATTAAAAGAAAATTAAAATAAAGAAAAGAAAATTAAATAAAAATATAAATTTTCACCAGTTCCAGACGAAGAAAATTTCAAAAAGATGAAGTGAAAAACCTCAATCATGAAAAGTTGTACACCATTTGAAATGAAAAAGATCAATTCAGCTTCACCTGTATTAACCGATTTGAGTTCTTTCCTCAGTTCAGCTTTTACCTAAAAGTTTATCATAATGCATTATATAAATTCAAAAATGAATCACTCATTCAGGAAAAATTCGGCAAATGAAAAATAAAAATTAAAATGAGTTAACAACTGTATCAAAGCAGTTTCCATTCCATCGTATTTTAATGAATAAATAAATGCCAAAAAAAATTTCAAAAAATAATTCCCACAATATTACAGATGGTCATTTATATTTCAAAATTTAAAGTAAATTAATATCATTAAATTATTAAAATATTTAAAATATTTAAAATATTTTAGAATATTTTAATTCAACATATTTATTCATAATTACTCCTTCCTCTTCTAACAGCAGGCAATTTCACTTATGACTGGTTTCGATTGATTACGAAAGTGAGACAGCTTCGGCAGAGATCCATTTAGAAAGAGATATATAAGTGAGTTGAGCATCATCCAAGATTCACTTATTTTCGCCTTTCGTTATCTTTATTAAATCTTATTCTATCTTACTTTTATATTATTTTTTAACAATAACGTGCCCATCAGCATGAATTTCTCCTATCATTTTTGTATTTTCTGACGAGAAATCACCGCTGCTCATTCAATATATAAATGCAAATACTACAATTTTATCGGAATCCCAGAACATTGAATTAATCATCTAATTCGAAATTGCATAAAGGTAAAAAAATTTCACCAAACCTTTTTTTCTATAGCTGTAAATTTCTCTTCATTTTTCGCCACAGATGGGTTATATTCCTTTTTCAAAACTCTTAATCGTTCCTCAACACGTTTATGGACATCCATCATATTTTTGTATAACTTACATTTTTTTGCTCTTTTCTCCTTCAAAATTTCTTGTACAAGTTTTAAGCCTCTGTCGTATATCACTTCTGCATTTTTCTGTAAAATTGTTTACCCTGATTAACCGTTATCATTATTATAAATTAAATTAAATTAATGAAAACTATTTTTTACCTCTAATAAATTGGTGCTAAAGATTTAATAAAACAATGGAGCAAAATAAAACCTTATCACCAACTTCATCATAAGACAATCCCTGTTCAAAACAAGCGAATGCTTCCGCAAATATATCATCAAAATATTCCGTTTGGAGCATCATTCTTGGGTAATTTAATGTTTCGGAAAAAAAAGAAATTCTTATTTTTCAATTTATATGAAGCGAACACGTAAACTCACATTTATATCCATCGAAATATTTACAAATTCGATAAGCTTTGGCGAAATTGAAACTAGAATGACTCTTAAGTACCACACTAAATAAGCTTCAAATTGGCTCGAAAATATATTATGAAAATTCCTATTCTTTGATTGAAACTTTACAAAAAATAAGCAGGAAAGATATTAATTAAAAATTGAGGATAACAGTGAAATATCGATGCTTAAAGCTTAAATTCTATCTTGAACAGTCTATTAAATTTCCCTAGCGTATTCATTCTCTTATTATGTTAATATTAGCCATATTTAAAAAAGTCTATAACCAACAAACCAAATTGCTAGCGAGGATTAAAACGCAGAAAATCGTCTAAAGCACCTAACATACATCAACGATAGTGATTCCCAATGCATTTTATGGAAAATACATGAAGTAAGAACTAGAAAAACAACCAGTAACGATCTTTTTCCAAAATACTTTTTGTAAATCTTTCATTTATCATCATTCTTCTATAAAGTTTTTGTTTCTTTCAAATTCTTTTGCTAAGAAAAATAATTTATGTCAAAGTTTCATCATTATCTTTTTGAGTGAATTCTTATTTCACCAAAATTTTCATCAATTCGAACCATGTTTTGCTCAAAAAAAAATCGACTCGATTTTTTGAAAAAATTAATTTGCGAAGAAACTGAAAAAAAAAGTTTGAACGGTCGATGTGAACCACAGAAGATGGAAAACAATGTGATTAAGTTTTACTCATACGTTTAAATAAAACACCACATACCATACTTAAAATTAAATCCACAAATCGCTCTATTACTTGGCCATTAGAATTTTCTACAAAAATTTTAAATCAGTGCCACAACGTTCAATCCAAATCGACCTACTAAACTATTCTTCAACAAATTCTCGTGGGGCATAGTGATTCTTCCAAATCGGAATGTGTTCACCGATATATCTCCATTCACAAAAATATATAGCAGAAAGGAACGCGCCCGTTCCAAATGCAGCATACGTTGAGTAACTGAAAAACGAATTGAGAAATAAATTTACCGATTAGTTTTACTGTAGTACTTTTAAATCTGATGCTAAAAGATTTTGAACGTGTAGGTGAACCAGCAATATATGAATTTAGACGATGGAAAAAGGAACGGCTTCCATTACTGTCGACAATCAGACCGCCCCGCTTGGAAGCGTCCCTTGTAGCCATGGGAGCCAGCCTAATCAGTAATGGTGAGAGGTGTTAAAAGAAAAAAAAAAAGAAGCAAATTTATATTTCAATTAAATCCTATTTAAAGACTTAAATCTCAAAAGTCTCTTCAAAAAGTCAAAGGTCACAGCTTGAAAGTTAGAAAGTTTTACGGCAAAAAAACTTTAGTTCCTCGCTTAATTTTGAAAATTCATCTATTTCTAGTAAATATTAAAAAAAAATTACATAAAATTTAATTTAAATTACAAAATTGCACGGTAAAATATGAAATTAATTGCGAATAAAAATTAAATATTGGAAAAAGACGAGGATTAAAATCAATCAGAATGAAATACTTAATAACAACCTACAGTTAATTAATAAGAATTTTAAAGATTTCAAACAATTAATATAAAAAACTGATAAAACTAAATTAAGGTACTACTACCATAAGCTTGAAAAGAAGGAGAGATGGCCGAATAGTAAGACCGCATCGATCTGCACCAAGGGTTCCGACAAATTCTTTGATTCTGAGAGGAATAAATCTGGGCAAGCCATTAGTTCTTCACTAAATGACAAAAAATTCTAATCGTACAAACATTCAACCTGATGTGCCGATCACTCATTTTATTTCACTCCAAGGAGAACTTCTGGTGAAGAAATTCGAAATTAGATTCAAAAAAAAAAACAAAAAAAAAACTTAAAAAAAAACTTGGAATATCAGAAAATGTATGTAAAATATACAATATATACATATATATTTATAAATAAATACATAAAAAATATATATTTATATATGAAATATATATAAACAAATGCAAAAACATACTATGAAGAATTAGTTACCGCTCGTTTGACGAATGAAAATGGTTTCAGATAAACCAACTTAAGATAAAGATTCATTTCTTATGATCTGAAAAAGATGTGTTGCATGTGTTGCGGTGAACCATCTACCTTTATCACTAAGCGATTAGGATGGTAAAAACATCCAAACGCACCAACAGCCAGCGGCAATCGGAAATGATGTGCTAGTCACTTATTGGTTTAATTACCACTTGTGTACTGCCGAACTACGCAATCAATTATAACGTTCTTTTTTTATTGAAGAATATGTGAAAACTAAACGAATATAAAACAATGATTCACAGGGAAAACGAATTGACTAGCGGAAACGACTCAATAGTTTGGATGGAATATGGTTGAATGGTACTGCTAACGCTAAGCGTAAGGTTAAACAAGCAAATGTGGAAATAACAGGTAATAGCGAAAGACGAAAGGGGGACACTAACGGACACTAATGAAGCACCTTTCTGCCCCCCCAAGTGACTGACAAGGAGGTCGAGTATTCGACGAAGCCGATCAAAGCCGAATGGTGAATGGTGTTAAAAAAAAGATGATGGCCATATTTGGCCAAATCACCGACGCCAAACTACATGGTCATGAAGACTTGGTCATAAGACAGCGAATCTGTTTTTAAAAGTATGATACATCTAGAAAAATCGAAATGCGGTAACTTTTGATAAAATGTGGCCATGGTCCCAAACTCCAAATAGTGCGGTACTAGCTTATCCTCCTTACATTTCCTATTTGATACACTAAATAAATCATGCAGATTTCAACTTTTCATTATTAAGTTTTATTACTATTATTACTTTTCATTGTTATTATTAAGTATAAACGTTCTAACTGAGCTATGTTTTCTATTACTCACCATAAGAATTTCACCATAGAATTTTGAGTGTCGGAAGTGGCGATAAGGTCTGATCAAGAAGTGAACTAATAGAAAAATTCACAAATGGTACGGCGGTATACGCGCTTAGACGATGGTAAAAGGAATGGTTTCTCTTACCTGACACATGGTATCGGATTAAGAAGCTTGGAATATCTCAGCTATGCAGCAAATGGAGCCAAATTGTTTTGACAATTGTTTGTTGAAAACCAAGCAGGACGGCAAGCGCCATGTGCTTATATTAATAACAATAGTTAAAATAAATAATGAAAATTAATGATAAAATAGAAAAATATGACAAAAATTACCAAATTTAAGAAATAGTATAATTCGAAGTAACTATATTACTTATGCATAATCGAATGAATGTTTGTTTATCACCTTATAGCACAATGGTAATTCTTCTCTATTATTTTTTAATCGCCTTCTTAACACTCACTTAGACATTGCAATTTTATCACAGCTGATTTGTAAAAATACAAATGTAAAAAAGTAAAATCAAGGTGGCATAATCGAATGGTGAAAATCGAGACTTCAAACTTCATCCATGTTGTGAACTTTTACATAATGTCATAAATGACAGTATCCAATCTTTTTTTAAAAATAGCTGAGGATGACGCTCAAACTACATCATTCGGTAATATTCCAGTAATTAATAGAACGAATAAAGAAAAATTCATGAGTCCTTTGTATAGTTTATTGTTAACACATAGGTTTTAGTAATTTTAGTCCATTAGATCTTACTGGGTTCAAATTTAACCTAAAATTGTAATATTTTGAACAATCTGATTTAACATACCCATATAGAATTTTATAAGTACAAATTAAATCTTGTTTAATTCGACGAATTCAGAGGGAATCCAGGTTGTTGAAGTTGTCTTTTATAATTAAAATTCTTATTAAGAGAGGGAATCGTATAAAATATTTTTAGAGTACTTTTTATATTTAAATATTTAATATATTAATATATTAAATATTTTTAGAGTACAATTATTTTATATGATTTACGATATCTCGGGGAATAACACGTAGCATTGTAACCAAGAAGTGGCCGAACGAATGTTTTATATTTTTTTGGATAAGAAAAACTTCAGTTCTGTTCTTATAAAAATAACGAACGGAAAATAAAATTTAGTGTTTTTGAGGATTTCTTTACAGTTCTGTAGTGAAAGTCAAAATCAAGTTTTCATTCATATTTAATTTTAATTTTAATTTTATAATTATACAGAGATCGGGATTATGTGAAACTTATTTACCATTAATAATTGAATGATTCGGGGATAGGGTGGCTCAGTGGGTTGTTGCTCAATTTGGAGCAGCTGAAGCTGCTGTTCGATTCCACGCAAGAGTAAACCTGTACAAAAATCCGGGTTATGCTGGCGACTCACCTATACTTCTATCACCAAGGAACTCCTTGGCATATTGCTCAATGAGGCAAGCCAGTGGAGCGAGTTTAACTAGTAGTGGTGAGGACTCTTAAAAAGAAAAAGAAAAAAGAAAGAATTAAGTGATTACCATTTGATTACCATTACCATTAATTATACAGAACTGTAAAGAATACCTAACTACCATTAATAAAAAGATTGGGAAGATCAAATCATTTCGAATTTATAGTTATTGTCATACGCCGAAGATCCTTTCCATTGCTCATTACTTTTATTATTGCTCGTTTTACGTGAGAATGCCCGTTCTGCTAGGATTAACAAATTGGATCTTCGAATTTACTGAGCTCGATGTGGTAATTATACGCTTAATAACAAGAAAATTCTATTAAAATTCTTTGATTATTATGTCTATAAACCTTATTATGGTCCTTTTTTAACAGCGTAAAGCATTTCTAGTTCGACACTGTGCGCTAGAGTGAAACTATCCCACCAGAGAACCATTTTAGGCATTTAAGATCGAACGAGGTGGCCCACCGGACTTTTCTTTTTTCAAATAACGCGCTTGACCGGTCGGAGCAATACGCTACTCGATCATCTTATTCTTCATTTAATTCGGTTATTATCCTTCTGCTAAAGCTTTCAATCTTTTCAAATTAGTGATTACGCTGTTTGCTGATAATTGAATAATAACTTTTTGCTTTCTTCAACATATGAAAATTGAATCCATTTTATCATTATTCTTAAAGAAAGATTTTAGGATAACAAAAATTTGGAATTGCAACAATATTAATTACATGGGCAAAGAATTTATTTATTAGTAGAGATATATTTCCTCAATAAATATTAAAACCATCGAAGGAATAAACGAGCCAAACTGTTAGAATATTCAGAAAAGTATTTAAACAAAACGAATTCTTCAATCCGCTATTATTTTCATCTTTGTCAAGGATACGAATTTCATGTGACCAAGCGAATTCTTCATTACATTCATTCATTCCTCGACAACAACATAATTTGCCTCGTTTTGGTAACTCATTGTACTAAAACATGAAAATTTTAGAAAATATTCCATAATAACTTAGAATACCTCAAAAATAATCTAATACCATAGAATATAAAAGATTTGAAAGATATCGTCAAAAAATTAGGCAATTAAAATACCATAAACTGAACATTGATGCAGGCTTTTTGAGTTCCATTAACAAATGGTAATGAGCCAACAATTGCGTCACATCTAGTTTGATTTAAAAAGATGACCAGATCGTCAAAATAAACTCCGTTTGTCGATCGCTATAAATTATTAATGAATTATCTCAGTCGTTTCTAGCTTTATCACTTGGTTTTTGGTCAAAGTATTTGTTATATTAGTTGGTTAAAGACGTTTTTATATTATATTTTATAATTTTTTTTTTTGAGAAACAGGATGGTAGTACGTTTATTTATTTCGATTAAAGCCTTTAACGGGAGTAAAAATATCTCATTAAAAAAGAATCACTGGTGGCTGCGCTAGCGACTTCTAATAGCTCTCATTACTGGTTAAATTGGTTGCGCTGGTTGCAAGGTTTCCAAGCTGCTCGATCTGACGCCATCGCGATAGTAATAGAAGCAATCCCTTTTTCCACCGTTTCATTCCACGTGTAGATGGTACCCTATACGTCCAAAATCTTTTCTGAATTTATCAGTCCAGGTTTTAATCAGCCAATCTCGTTTTCGACGCCATCCATCACATCAGGGCAAATTTAGCAAACAACGAATATATGTGTCAACTCGAGTGATGAACGACGAAAAACGTGCCTTAACAAGCGAAGACGACGCTCTGTGTTGGTAATATTAGTGCAGATAGTACTTGAGCGAAGGTGGATGCACTACTAACAACTTCTAATGTTTCTGGCGAAGATCACTAACCAGTAAAGCCAACCAAAATAGTTCAAAGATGGTAATTAAGAAAAAAAGAGGCATATTCATCTGATTTAAGAAAAAAGTAAAGATTTTACGAAAAACCCACAGCAGAGGTATTTGCGTCTTTAAGCATCTTTGATAACGTTCGTGATTGGCATCCACGCAACACGACGTTCGGTGGTTCGGATAAATTCTAAAAATAAAAAATAGAGCAGATATCTTTCGAGATTTAACTTAATCAGAGTTTTTTATTGATTATAAAAATTCACAAAGTTTATCATTTCCAAAATTTATCTTTGCTTAATAAAATATTATTAATCACAAGATAGAATGATAAAAGTAACTAGCATTTCATGTCTGAGAAAAATAAATGGAAAATTTCAAATTAAAAAGTATAATTTCCTATTGTATGAGAATGTATGAGAATCACAGAAATTTACAGCCGTCATAAAAGTGAAGCACCATGGATCGATGCAATTTTTATAACTGAGTATCGTGCCGTCTTCCTTAGCGTATAAATATTTGCATTCTTGAGTTGAGAAATTATTGAGAAATGGAGGAATTCGTATGAAGTTGTAATTACACATCTCCTATAAGAATATTATGATATGTAAGCCATAAAAAAGAATATTATGATAATATGTAAGCTGATTGTATTAATAATAACATTATATTAAATTATTATATTATATTAAGAGCATGGAGTGAGAACTACCAATCGGAGTTTGCGTAACCTGGAGTGGGACCAATGTTCCCTACAAATTTCGCACATAAATACTCCTATTCGAACAGAATTTCTTCCGCGCAGTGGCCATTCATCTATCGGACCACAGCACACTGGCATTTGCACATTAATTTTTAGTTATAAGAAAGGCCATTATGCAATGGGGGACTTTGTATTTTTCATGGGCGAAATTAAAATATTGTGAGTGTCTTTATTTTTTATCATTATCACTAGCTGTTTTGCGTTTATATATTTAAATTTTTCTTCTTCTAACACTTCTCACCATTACTGGTTAGGGTGACTCCAACGTCTACAGGGGTAAGACGCTTCCAAGCGGTCTGATGCCACCGTTCATTTTCCCATTACCTAAGTGCATATATTGTTGGTCCAACTATACGTTCAAAATCTTTCCTGACTGTATCAGTCCAGATCTTAATTGGCTCGTTACATGCTAACCACGGCTTAGCAAGTAACGAAATGCATTAACTACTATGGTGGGCGACGGAGAATGCGCCCTAACCAGCGAAGGCGACGCTCTATGATAAAATTATTAATGCAAGTGGTATTTGAACGATGGGTGCGATTATGTGATATTTTATCCGCTCAATGGATCCGTAAAATGTACAGGAGTGGTCAAAGACAGATAATATCTTATCTTCTTATATCTTCTTAATATCTTCCGGTCTCGATGGCCATCTATCAGAGCCATATAGCAAGATCGAATGAATTATTATATAGATGCAGACTTTCGTATATATTTAAATAAAGGGAGGCAAATACTAATTATTAATATTTTAACTTAGTAATGTAATTTCTTAGCGATATGTAATTTCTATCAAAGCATTTTTTTCATATCTATAAGACGAAAATAAGTATGCGAAAAATAGAACCCGTTTATCGGTACTGAATAATTGCTATTTAAATCAAATCGGTTCTTCTCCTTCTTCATGAGGAAATAATCAACCTGATCCACCGAAAAATGTGAGCTCATGTAGAGAGAAATGTGAGTCCAGTTTTTAATAATTTTTTATAATTTTTAATAGATTTTTAAGTTTTTTAATATAATTTTTTAATAATTTTAATAATTTAATAATCAGTTTTTAATATTTTTAATAATCAGTTTTTTAATAATTTTTATAGATTATTGAAAATATGGTTATTCTTAATTTTTCACTTTTTAGTTGTTTAGTATAGTAGGCCGAATGAAAAAATTTCCCCCAAAAGCCCTGTTCTCTCCAGCCCTGTTTGACTATATATTTTCATATCGCGCAGATATCAAAATTCTACCCTTAGAATAATAACTGGTGAAAATTTCGATGGAACATTAATTAAGATGAATAATGATAGATATGTCTTTGGGAAATATTCACTTGATTTTATCAAGTCAAGTGGGCATTTCAGCATTTTTGATGGCAATATGGATGTGTAACCTCTAATCTTGGATCTAATCCCTACCATTCCATTTGCTTTATTATTAACTGATAAATAATTGTTGTACTCTAAAACCGCAATATTTACCAAAATCTATAAGAATATTGTAAATAAATTCTATAAAATTCTGTCTGCTAGTGTATTCTGATGCAGTGATTCACTGGTTAAACTATATTTGATCTATCGATATTTATATTTTAAAATTAAAGCGAAATTAAAAAGTTAACCGCTTCATTACAGCAGCACTTAGCATCGTTTGCACCACGATCAAAACAACCCGTTGAATTTATTTTCCCCTTTATTTGTGATTGGTCCGAACAAAAGTTATTCTTGTCACAGTTAAAATCACCAGTTACCTTGTCATGAAAACACCAACCAAATATATCATTCGCTTCACATATTCCCTAAATTTTAATTTATTAAAATGCATAAGATGATAGGCAATTTCTTAATTTAATTAAAATTTGTAAAATCCATTGCTAAAACCCAATCCATTTTTTTTGAATTGAAGGCTTCATTTTATATTTTACTTTCAAGAAAAGGAAAAACTTCTATTTTCTAACTTCTAAAGGAAAAATGAAGAATAGGGACTTAAAATCGATGAACTTTTCTAGTAAAACGCACACAACAAATATATCGAGAATCTTAAAATTACATAAAAGTCACTTTGATATCATCAATGCACATCCTAGCTTCAACAACAAATACTATTACTGAAACGAAGATGTACCGGAACATCCTGAAAGGACAAAATTATTTCGGGATGGTAGATTTTCGTAAAATATGAAATAGCCAACAGTATGTTGGCAAATACAACGATTTATGTCAGCATTCAGTGGACGTTATTAATAATAAGAAAGTTTGTTTAATAGTATTCGTGAAAATTTATTTATGTAGTGTTCCAATTTGTAATAAATAAATAATAAAATAAGTCGTTAATTTAAATTCACTTTGTGGGCTGTAGGTCACGATTAAAAATTTCGGCCATTTGGTGAGAGAAGTGCAAGTTGATCACTAGCACCACTTCGGAATTCCAATGACTGGCTTGTTCGTGTATAGACAAGTAATCGAATCTTTCAACACGATAATCTGAGCCAATTTTCATAATTTTAAATAATTTTCAAGAAAGCAATTGCTAAATTAAATAAGAAATTAAAGACAATATGTTAAATGAATGAATACGGATCGAATAGTATCACCATTGGTTCGATTTTTGCTTCTGTAAAATTAAGCCTTAAAAGTGTCTTCAAAAGTGAAATCCAGGTGGTACGTCGTTAGCCATATCACTTGCTAGTTCTACTACAAACCATTGTGAAAAAACCCACGGTTAGAAGATGAAGGAAAACATTTGACCTAAAACTTTTTTTGGTTAACAACAATCCAAATTCTATCGATTGTAATAAAAGAATTAATTTTTCAACTAAAAAGACTCGCTTCATATAGTTTTACGGTTTCGATCTTTTTATTTGCTAATTTTTGGTATGTCTGATTTTCGAGAAACTTTTCCGGAAATTTTCTCTTAATATTTTATTCTTTTCTTATTACTCAAATCTAAGCTATAGACTGATGAGCCAACTAATCATTCATCAGAGTACTTGATCATTTAACATTAATATCAATTCTGATTAACCATTAGTTCAGTCATGAACAAGTATCACGATTCAGTTTTTTCGACAACATTCACCTTTCTTGGTTAAACTCGATCCACTGTCCATTAGGATGAGGAATCTTCATAGAGAGTTATCTGAGGACAGAAACACTCGGTTCCCAGCATCATTCAGATTTTTTTATCTACAAATTACTACAGTATATTGTGAATTATAATATTAACTCATTACTAGTTTGTTTCGCTGTCTGACATTTCAAATGAATTTTCATATACATTTTCATAAGGAACTTTCAAAAAAATAATGCAGATATGCTGAAATCCATTATCTCTTTAATCCATTTTAGATCCATAATAACTAATCTAAAGACCTGGACTGATACGGTCAGGAAAGATTTTGAACGTATAGGTGGACCAGCAATATATGGACTTCGACGATGGAAAAAGGAATGGCTTCCATTACTGTCGACGATGGCATCAAACCGCGCCGCTTGGAAGCGTCTTGCTCTTGTAGCCGTTGGAGCCAGTCTAACCAGTAATGGTGAGAGCTGTTAGAAGAAGAAAAATCTAAAGACAAATTAGTTAATTATAAATACAAATTTAATTTTAGAATAATTGCGAGTGAATAAGTGATGAATGGTTGCGTTCCAAACTGTTGTTTCTCTAATATTAGCACTGGTTAAAATTCTTATTATAGTAAAACAAGTCCCGCTTGAGCTTAATATGTAAAAAAGAAGAAATCTCTTTATGGCCTTTGCGGATGGTGTGGGTCATCCTTAACCTCGGATCCTCTATAGAGACCTACGAGCTTGAGGGTTTTTCACAATATTTTTTCACAATATCTTAGCGTTCTTTTAGATTTCTAGAATCTTTTGGAGCCACTTTTCTGATTTAGGAGTGATAGCCTATTACCACTAAGACTTTGGTATACACATCTTTTCTAGCTCCTATTCCCGCTTCTGGTATTTCTCTATCTTCTCATATTTCTTCCTAACGTTTCTGTCATATTTTAGTTTTGCTGGCTCCATCACCAGTGCTGGCTTCTTGTCTACTGTTGCGGTATCTGGTTGATTAAAGAATGTTTGTCCATCTGTCTGAATCGAGAAATCCAACAGGATCTTATTATTCGCTACGATTTTTTAGGGAGTCTTCAACTAGTCTTTTGAGAACCATGTACTGAAGGGATATTTCTGTAGACAATACAAGCTATTTGGTTGTACTTTTTAATACATCCTATTCCTACATGCATTCCACATCCTGCCACTATCTTTTGGACAGTTTTTGAGGCTTTTCTGCGCAATCTGCATCTTAAGTCGTGACTGATGTGGTAGATTCCTGCTTTGATGGATCTGGTATTTAGTACTTGCGCTCTTGCGCTCCTATGATCAGTGCCTTAGTTCTCTTTTAGTCCGGCTTTTTCCAACCATTGTTATGATTTCTCAATGTCAAACATTCAGCTATCTATCGATAGTACATCCCATGATCTTGCATAACTAATGCTGCACTTCCTATTCCTTTCCATCTGTCGCTTCAGATTTTTCTTCAGCAGCTTTGATGCCATCTTGCTGACGTTCCTAAATGCTTCGGGTTTCGTTCAAGACAGTAACTTTGATACATACCATGCCCTACTCGCCTTCTTTCACCTAATGTATAGTATGAGATTTGGAATAGAAATCTCCTTGCACTGTGATCAGTTTTTGAGATTCACAACAGCAGTTCCATATTTTCCTTTGATTATTTCAATATGCCAGCTATATATTTGATGACTGGCAAGGCTTTCATGACATGAATTTTTTCCCATTGAGCTGGTTCTTTCTTATTCTTTTGAGGTGTTTGAATGTTTGCCTAATCTCTTCATCGTGATTCTCATGTGATTGTGGGATACCAAGAGTCATTAGTCTATATGTCTGCTACATGCACTATTAGTTCCACCCTATTAGTCCTGATTTCATTCTCTTTAATATCATCCGACCACACTTCTGCATTCCGAATGATATCCCAGTATCCTCGCTCGTTGTAGATTCGCGTTAGATGAATGAGCGACTCAATGTCTCGTTGGCATTTAGCATATTACTTGATATCATCCATAGAGAGATATGGTTGGTTACTGCTCTTGTAACCTTCTATTAGTATCCACTTCTTGTGATTATCTGGTTGAGATGGGCTGGGAGAGGGAAGATTAGATCTATATAGAGTAATGGGGATAGTATACCATCTTGATATATACTGCACTTGATAGCCACTAATGTAAATTGTTTTAAGTTGACTTCAAGTATCATTTTCCATAATCCTATTTAGTTCTCAATGAAGGTATTTAAGATAGATCTTTAAGATCTTGTTGACTTTATATACAACCAGGCAGATCCATGTATGAGACATTGAGTCATAGGTTTTCCTATAGTCAATCCAAATTATGCTCAGATTTATCTGTCGAGACTTTAATCGAGTCTTGAACGATTGGTAGTTTGAATATCTGCTACTGTTCCCAATTTTCATATGAACTGAACTCAAGTACTGACTCATATGGTCTTATAGCTCGATGGCTTTGATATTTAACAATATTTTTAAGGTTGTGGGAGATAGGTTATTGATCAACACTTGAGCGATGTTATTACGACAGTTTTTCATGATCAGCACCATTTTTCCTGTGTTAACCAGTATGGATGAAAGCGTGCTACAAGCAGCTGGTTCATTTGTGTTGCTAGGCGTTCATGCTTCTTTAGCGCATTATGTCCAGACCGAATAGTGTCCAACTTTTCAATTTTTAATTCGGCGTTGTATATTCACAACTACTGATAATTGATGACCTGGGAGATTATGGCTTATTCTCACATCCTGCAGCCAATTTGCATTGTTGGCACAAACCTTCTTTTTCCCGCATATATTCTTTCAGTGCTCTTCAATTTCTTCTGTTGGTGCCTATTGTCGTCATATTGTTGCACTGCAGTTGAAAATACACTTTGAACTTATTTTTTGAAGACCATGACTATTATCTTTTTGGCCTTTGCTTCTCTATTTCATCTTCTCAGTTTAGTAGCCAGTGCTGCGGACCTTTGCTTAGTAGTCTCTAAGGCTACTAATGGAATATAGCCTTTTTTCTGGTAATCTGATATTCTGGTAGTCTTATTCTTGGCCCTCATATCTTTCTGTAGCACTGGCTGATCTCCCAGTTGTTCCTGCATATCTAAGTATTGAAAGAAATAAGACAAACCTTGAAGAACCAACTCAATGGGAAAAACAAAATCCATGCCATAAACGTGTGAGCCTTGTCGGTCATCACATATGCTGCAGCTGGTAAGACGGACAAAGGAAAACATGGAGGATAATAACATGAAAACTCGGAAACTCCTCATAATACACATATTATACAAGAATTTCCACCCAACCTAACCTAACATTCAAAAATATACCAACGGGAAGAAGGCGAGAAATTATTTTGAACGAAATTTTCGAAGCATTTAGAAATAAATCAGCAAAGTGGCACCAAAGCATAAAATGCCGACAGAATATAGAAGCCGTCTAAAGCATATATAGACATTGGAAAACGATCAAGCAGAGGAAATACCATGGTAAAGGCCCTCCAAAGATTGCACCATCGATAGATAGCTGAGATACACTGTAAAATTCTACCAGTTGGGACCAAGCATCAGATCCATCGAAACAAAGATCTACCATATTAGATAGGACATTAGATAGAGATTGTGCAAAAACGTCCCAGAAACAGTCCAATCCAATATATAGTGGCAGGGCGTAAAATGCAAGCAAGAACAACATATACTGAAAGGCATAACCAAGCTGGCAACATCTACAGGAACATCTGCTCGATATATGGCTTAGACCCTCTAAAGACTGAATGGAAGATCTCTAAAAAAATCGTAGAGAATAAGGCAAAGATCCTGTGGGACCACCCACATAGATAAACAAATACTGGCCAATCAACCAGATATCATAATAGACAAGAATGAAAAATCCAAAATCAGCACTAGTGATAGACATAAGGAAACAAAGCGATAAAAACATTAAGAAAAATAAAAATATGAGAATTTAGAGATATACCAAGGGGAAAGAGGAACTAGAGATGTGGAAAACAAAAGCCAAAGTAGTCTCAGTGATGGAGCACCTGGAACTATGAACCTAAACCAGAAAATTAGTTTTAGAAGATTCTAGGAACAAAGATCAGAAATCTCAGTCCAGAAGAGCGCACCGCTAGAAACAGCTAAAAATTGCGCAGAACCCTCAATTTCTCGGGCCTTGAAAAATTTGACCCTTACAGCCACAGGAAGTGGGATTTTTTTAAATTATGTAAAATACATATATATTAATAAATGTATTAATACATATTAATATTATAATAATATACATTATATGTTGTGGATGGGATGGCTCAGTAGGTTGTTGCTCAATTCGGAGAGTTAATACTGAGATTCTTCGCAGGAGTAAACCTGTCCAAAAATCGGGATGATGTTGGCGACTCACCTGCAGTTCTATCGCCAGGAGACTCGCCGGCACATTTATCCAGTGCGACAAGCCAGTGAAGCGAGTGGACCCGTAATGGTGAGGACTCTTTAAAAAAAAATTATTATTAATTCATATACACAAAAATATGTTTTCGAATTAATCTTAAAGATTTTAAAAAATAAAAATAAAATAATTTAAAAAATGGAAAAAAATTTGAAAAAAAATTTTAGAAACTCAGAATTTCAGAAATTTCAGAAAAACATCGGAAATAACAGTAAGCAATATCAAAACACCGAGCTGGGAGAACTGCTCTGTGGAATTCGGATAAATGTGAGCTGGCTCTGAGTTCATGTGGGAAATCTTTGGCCTACAAAAGAAAAAATATGAAAGGCTAGAACATCTATGGATATAAGGACTCAAGCGATAACCATCCACGCCTTGTCCAAATGGATGTCAATTGCCTATTGGAAATCTGTTTTCTTAATTTCTGGTTCAGAGCTATCTTCGAGTAAAAACTACTGGCTGTACTACACTGATCATATCTTTCAGATAGATCAAAAAGAAATAGAGTTGTCGAATTTTCACGTCCAAAAGAGCATAATAATTTGTGAATCGCATTATCTCGGTTATCAGTTTACACTTATTTCTATGCAGATGTCTACGGTGGTCTGCATAAAGGCAGAATCTATGCTGAAATGCTAATAGCATCTGTCCCAAAAAACAACGAAATCGTGATCATCGGAGATGGAATGCGCGCTTAGAACATGAGGATGTCCCACTATTTTCAGTCGGCAAGTATGGCATACTGGGACTCGGTGTGACAACGAATTTTCTCTATGTTCTTGAAGTATAGACTTTCTTGCCACCAGTACCTCAAACATTTAGAAGACACTTAGTTATATTGGATCAAATAACCAAGAATGGAATCAGAATGACTATATCTTGGTCAATTACCATAAGAATTTGTACTAGAAAGCGGCGAATATCCCGAAAATGGGAATGGAAACCTCCGCAGATTCCAAAAAGAGAAATAATATCGAATAAAGAGAAAGAAATTACAAGAAACCTCCACAGATTCGACCACGTTATAGTTAAAACCAAGATCGGAAACTGGTAACACGGAAAACAGCGCCACCCAAAAATCTTCTATCTTAAATGGAAAGATCCAGGGCAGTCAACACATTTCAAGCTGAGGCAGAAGTGCCCTGGATAACCTTTCAGCATCTCTGGGACTACTGAAAATTATTGGTCCCAGTTGAAGTTTCGCCTCCAAAAACCAATTAAATCCGCCTAGAATACATGAACTGGACGGTTTAGGACCCTATCATACGATAAGTTTCAAATGAAATGGTCCAGCTGTGCAATCGCTCAGTCAGAATACGGAACGATATGGAGATAACAGAGATAGCGAGTATATTGTAAATTATTTCGCCTACTTCGCAAAGCAAGCGGGATCCGAGGAGTGCTCAGTGAAATGATTCGATAGAGTCGATAGTGGAACGATACGGAGATAGGGATGTCCCGCTAAGATCACTCATCCGATGGAGAGGAGTTTCGATCTAAACTTAACTGGGGGTCATCCAATAACGGATGTGATTGGAACACATTTAGAATCGTATGATAGGGTCGTAAACCGTCGAATACGAGATGACATCTGGTTCACAATGTTCTTCCCGGAGAAAATAGTGAAGATAATGTTAATTCCTCAAAATGCCGTTTGTCTCTCACAACGCCCTTCAGAAAGATATTCATTGGTGTATGAGAAGGAGCGTATCCAATGCAACTGGAACAAGTTCAACTCCTAATAAAAAGAGAAGTGTTCCTCCCACTAAGTCTCGAAGAATATAACCTTACTCAATATTTCTTTATTTTGTGTGCGTAGTAAATTGGCTCAGTCTTTTAAAATACGTACTGGAGTGCGTCAACGTTGCGCTTCATCACCTTTAGTTTTCAACTATGCAATAGTTTGGGCGATCGATACCATTAGCCGGCACCCAAGAATTTGTTGCTGCGATGAACGGACACAGTCCTGGTACTGCTAGTGAAAATTGGTTCAAATCGATGTAAATGAGGCAAAATTCTTTTCGTCTTACGCGTTAGATGGATCGTTAACGAGTTTATAAAATATCTAACTTCAAAAACCTCAGAAAATTCCATCTCATACCTCATGGTAAAGAGAATAGCCCAGCTGGGATGGCAACAACCAGAGATGGCTTTTTTGGCGAGACTTCTCTAAAACCAAAATAAACCTCAAAACAAAGTGCAAACTATCGTACCATATGGCTTGGCCAGTGAGGGTGGAGGACATACAGAAGCTAACTATGGTCACTCTTGCTTAAGGCATCCTACGTATTCGCCAAGTTAACAGAGTCTCTCTCTTTTTATTTTTATTCCAGTGCAGTGAGTTTGGTGCAATGACATTTCTGCGTCAAATGCGCTTTCAGTAACGATGGGAAGTATTCGAGCAACAATTTCTTGAATTCATTTCATATAATGAGAAAAAAAAACAAAAGAAACATTTCAAACATTTAAATGTGCAGGGAATCATAACCATAATATGCGATCAACAGATAAGGTCAAATAATATCAAACGAAATGACAAACACCAAGTGAATGAATGAATTTACTGGGAATTTTCGTCGACGGCGATCCCTTCCTCGCCGAAGCTTCGCGAAGCGATTCCAAGACTGTTTCAGCAACGAATTACCGCCGCATTTAATATTTATATACGAATTAATATAAAATTAGATGTTGGAACAAACGCATTATCTTGGATCGATTTCCATATATCCCTTTTTGCATTTTTAGACGTCTTTTTAGAGGAATTAATTATAAAATGCATAAGCTGATTTGGATTTGCAAATATTCCACCAAATTAAACGCAACAAATGTCGTCGGTCTATGAGCAAATATATACAGCGCAGTTTGAAATATTTATCCATCAAAGCAATCTTATCCGAATTAATCCAACTCTTCACTTCCATTTCATTGAATGTTTTCAAACTGCGCTGAATTTCATTAAATCTTATTCGTCTTTAAATAAAAATAATACTGCAGCCGTCTGAACTGCTATTTTTCCCTTATTTACTTATACAGTCTACGATCGACAGTTTGATAGCAACAAAAAATTCGTATTGCCTATCGGCAGAAAAAATACCAAATAAAATTTAAAAAATCATATATTTATGAATTTATAAGAATATATAAGAATATCTGAATATTCTTCGTTGTGAAAACAATATTAATTGCTTATAAAAGTGAAAATATGATTAAAACAATTGAATAACAAGAATATTTGAACGATAATGCTGCTCATTATTTTTAACGAGATAGCCTAAGCTACTAGTAAAATCTATCATAATGCACAAAAACAAGCATAGTTAAATTATAAATTATAATTCAATTATAATGCCAGAATATTTAAAACAATACCTAAAAAAAATTGGAAGGACTATGACTGGATCATTCTTTAAATAATGGAATTAAATGATTAATATTTGGAAATATTTGGAAATAAACCCAAGAATAATTCAAAAATATAATAGTGTGATGATTGGAATGAAATGGAAAGAGAAAGAAAAAAAGAAATTAAAACTGGTGGTTTGCCTTAATAATTATAATAATACACTTCTAAAAAACGTGATTTCTTAACTCTTCTTTTAATATCATTGTTACTTTGATTGGAAAACGTGGATACAACAGGTCTGCACGGCTTTGTACCAATTTTAATTCCAGTTCACTTACATCAAGACATGATCGAAGAGGATATGATACTATAAAATAATAATATTACTAATTAATTAAGAATTAAGAAATTCCTTTGGAAGAAAATTTTCTTTCAGTGAATTATTTTTTTAAAAAAAAGTTTTTTTATTTCAGGATGAAAATTTTCGATTGAAAAAAATAGAAGCAAAAAGTGATCATGAAAATGCTATGTTTTTTCCAGTGAAACAATTGGTAAATTTTTGTTCAAAATTCTGCTCACTCATGGATCCAACTAATTTTGTGAATAATTTTCAATTTCAATGCATTTTTTTTGTTAACAGAAATCTACACGCAAATTTAAAAGAACTCGTTGAAGCACTCATTTAAAGAATTTAAAAGCTTAAAATTTTCTCTTGATAAAATAAATATTGACCACTTAACAGCAAGCAATGATGCAATGAAACAGTTATCTAGAGCAACCAATTAAAACTCCTAAATAGATTTAGAAAAGACTTACCACATAATTTCTCCCCAGTTCGTCGTAATAACCCTTGAATACTGCTTATAACTTTCTCTATAGCTAATTTAATATTACCGTGAAATTTATCAAGCCAAACTACCAATAGGCTAGTGAAAATATCACCCGTGCCAACAAACATTCCAGGTAATTTCGGGATATCAAAGCGGTATTGTATAAGAATACCATCTGAAAAAATTGTTGAAATCATTATAAATATAAATACAATAAAAAACTCACCACAGAAATAAAGTCGAAATATGATATATTGAAAAGGTCATTATATAAATGATAATGAAAAATTGAAAAATAAAAAAAGTGGCAAACCGTTTATTGATGAACCATAACAGAATAAAAGGTTCTCTTCCTCTAGTCCACTTGTAACAATCACAGTTTTTACACCTTTATTATGCATTATTCCTATTGCTTTTAAACAGTCTTTTTCGTTGTGAATATTTTGACCACTTATTTCTCTATAGATTAAAGCAGATTGTTTGTAAGCAAACAAATTTTAATCTATAGAGGAAATATTATAATGGAAATACGCCAAAACTTCATCGAAAATTTTTAAACATTGCTAAAATATACAATAAGACCTAAAGTGCAAGTGTAAAATTTTTTGTCTTCATTTAAGTAAGTTAAATGAAGACAAAAAATTTTAATGGAAACCAGCACAAGCAATTTGTTCAGAAAGAATAAATAATAATATATTAAAAATGATCTAATATAAGCCAGTGCTTGATTAACTATACAAAATAAATAATAAATAAAACTAACGATAGCTCAAAAGTATTGGGGGCTATTATATCTGCCAAAGGAATTATTACATCTCGATATACTGGCATCAACTCCTTAGGTGTGTACTGCAAAAATATTAAGGATAATATAACTAGAAATTTTTAAACAACTTAACAGATGAAAAAAAGAAATAAGATAGATAAAATTTGAATAAAACGAGCAATCGAAATATGTGTGGAAATATGGAAATAAAATAAGCAAAACTACTTAAAGGCAAGTCCATATTAGTTAATTTTAAAATAATTCTCTCCCTCTCGAAAAAAAGTCACGATTACTAACTAATTTTAGCATATTTGATACTTATGCGATTGGACTGATTGAAAATGCCAATATGTTCAAAGATTTTTAACTAAAAATAAAAAAACTCACATATTTGCCATTATCACCCAGAACCGGATCGCAAACTAAAAAAAATTGAAAGAATTCTAGTTTCAAAATCCAAACACCAAATATTCAAAACATTCTAATTAAAATACTATGAAAAATAATTAATTAAAGCAACTTCTCCCTCAATTGAAATTTTTCTGAGGTAGAGGTAGAGGTAATCAATGGTTTGTTATTATCGTTCCAAAGCGCCGATGGTGAGGTTCTCTTCCAAGTAGGAATAAATTTTTTTTCAAAAATCTGGGCAAAGCTGGTGACATCCATCGCAAAGACCAGGATTTGTTTGATTTAATTAAATAATTTGTTTGATTTCGGCAAGTCAATGGAGCAAATGGAGTAACCAGAAATCGGTGAGCAGTCAAAAAAAAATTTTTTCTATCGCAATGATTTTTTATAAAATTATTCGATTTACGATCTATTTTTTATTTATGATGAATCAAACAGAATCAAACATTTTTTTACCGAAAATCACTTCTGGATTCGTTGCTTTAACATCTTTGACAATATCAGCAATTTTTAATAAAAACGACTCATTACCGCAATAACCTGAAATCATAAATCCATTTAGCATTTATTAGATCTTTATTTTATGCCATATTAATAAACCGAACACAGTAAGTAGCAAGTTCTATTATATCTTGAAAGCAGTAAATCTCTCATTAAAAATAATCCTGACCGATTCTCTAATTCAGTTGCTGGGTGATTCCCAGCTAAACCAGAAATGAGGACTATTACAAGATTTCTCTTGCAATCATCCGCAGTAGTTAATTCATCACACTTCTCCCGTTCGCTCATTAACATTTTTTTAATTTTTTAATTTTTTGAAATTTTTCTAAGCTTAATTAGCTTAATTTATTTGCTTTTTTCCTTTTTCCTCCATTAAGTAGTAGAATACTAGAGAAAAAAAACGAAAAATTTTCTTTTTTATAGTTTCATAATTGTGAAATTATTTTTTTCCATAAAGGCTTATAATTATAATTATGTATTATAATTTTACTTTATTTTTTCCGTGTTTTCTTTTCTTTTATAATTTATAATTTTCTATTATAATGAAATCATCGCCTGGCTTAGATAAGGAATAAACCTGTTGGAAAAATCAAATATGAAGGGCTATTAGAGACCCATCTTTACCTCTATCCCTAAGTGCCTATGGCAAAATGGTAAACGAGACAAGTAAGTTTCAAATCGCGCACTTTGACATGCATAATATCACTAATCCGATGGCAAATATATGAATCGGGCTCGGCGATAATGTTTGTGGGTTCTTCAGCTGATGGAATTATCCTAAAATAGTTCATAAAATTGGGGAAATATAAACCAGCTCTGTGTACGCGCTGCGAGGTCTTGGCCGCAGCTGCATGGAACGTCAGAACGTTTATTGATGTTGAGAGCCAGGCGATAAACATCCACACCAAATACTGTGTGGATACCGCTTAAATGTTGGAAGTCCGGAATCGGTTCATAGCTTTGGACATTTCTGATATTCTGATTTATAAAATTTGAAATTTGCGAATTAAAAAAAAATTAAATTAAATAATCTAAAGCGATAATACAGAAATAACTCAAACCTGTTAATACATATGAATACTTGTTGATGTTATTCAATTTAAGTCCTTCGTAAATTTCACGAAGTTGTTCATCGTTCAGCCTTTGACCTTTCACATATTTATAAGCTATAAAAACATGAATAAGCGGAAATTTTATGATTTTTTCGCGAAACTTTGGATTATTCAATTCAATTTTTTAGAAAAAATTTGCTTTAATGTTTTTTAAAAATATGTATAGAATTTGTGTATTGCGTGTTAATCAGAAAGGGGACCACTTTTCTATGAATGCTTAAGGCTTAATTATAATAATATACAAAATATATGGAACGAATTGAATGATTTGTTCAACTATTCAGGTGAATGTTCGTAGATTTCTAGCAAATAGTGCTTCTCAAGGAATTTCTTTCTAGACTATTACCAAAGCCTATGAGCTAATATTAAATAATAATACGAGCCTGTGTTTAAACTTAAGGTTCATTCGTAAATCAATCAATACTGGGAAATATACTTTAACAAAACCGCTCAAAATCTTAAAAGTCTTCGGATAGCCAGCGTTTGCAGCTTTTTCACCTTCATATGGCCTTTATTCACGGAAAGCCTACAAATAAAGAACCTCTGGATATTTCCGATGATATGTGGAACCGCTTCGAACAACAACATACTGATACATATTCTATTATTGGCTTAACGTAAATTTTGTTTTATAAAAGAAAACATCTAAATAAACAATATTGCAACATTGCAACATTTAGAGCAGTGGCTTCGGAATAGTAATCACCGATGCCAATTGTTAAATTTGAAATATAATCCAGGTCTTTGATAATTTACATTTCTGCGAAGATAATAAAGAATGTGAACGAAATCTTTCTTAAAATTAAAAAATGAGCATTTATGTGGGAAACTTCAGCTATATTTTAGTCGCATAACTCGAGAATCGCATAATATATTTTTCAGGAATTCTAGAATGAAGGAATAATTTAGACTGCAATAATTAATGAAGGAATAATTTAGACTGCAATAATTCAAAATAGCTTAGACTATTGGAGCCTAACATCTCATAATTTTATTTCAGCATTTACATAAATACTTTCGACCACCATTTATAAAAATTTTGATTTCAAACGAACTTTTTTAAGCTTTCTTGGCCGATGAGATGGCTGAAGGAACTTTTGCCCCAAGGAATGAATTTATATATATATATATATAAGTTAGGATAATTTCTGATCTATAGAAGACAGCGGCAAGGAAAACTGAATAAAACTTTATACAACATGACGAAAAATTAAGATATGCATAAAGTTTCTGAGGTTATTTGAGAACAGTGGAAAATGATGATCTTGTTAAGGCTTCTGGTATTTGTAAACAGCTCGCACAATCTAGTCGTTAAATGCGAAAGAAAGAAGTCTATGGCGAATCAAGAACAATATTATCTCCAGTTGGTGAAGAAAATCCTAGGATTAATGGGGAAAAGAGAAAATATTAAATCACACTTTCTAAGAAGAAAAATTCATTACTGAAATTTTGGTTAAGATTTATAAAAAAACTACAAAATTAGAAAATAAATTATGTATATATTAATGATGAATGAAAACGATGCATAAATGCTAAGAAAGCAAAGTTGATTTCTAAAAAAGCTTATTTTCAAGCAATTGCGGTGAGACAAACCAGTGGTTCGTAACTGCAGCCGTGTCACGCTTCTGAAGACTCACCGTAAAAATTTAGAAAAATGAAGAATTAAGGGGCCATAAGGGGCTGATCGCGCTAAAATATAAACTATAAAATTTTAGATTCTAAAATTTTCTACGCTGAAAAAATTAATTCTAATGTTACAGAATTGAAAAAGATTAATGCCTAATATATCTGAATCTAATCTATGATAATTTATGATATAGATTATATTGTAATTAAAAATGGGGAAACACACCTATTCAACTCACGAATGTACAAATATTACTGCACTTGGTCACTTCATATAAACGGAAGCGTCGATATCATAACATTTTTCGAAAATAAAAACGTGCCAAAACGATCAAATTATATAAGGCTGACGTCGCATGATTCATTTTCATATTCCATCCCTTTTTAATTTAACTTTAACCGTTTTAATTTTAATATTTCTTATCATCGATTATCATCGATAAATTGGTAATGCGATCTAATAAATAACAAGAACAAGACTTTGTCGAATAAGCCCTGTTCTGTTTATTTACCGAGCAGTGCTTGTGACGACAACCAACTTTACGCGGTTTGCGGTTCAAACTAGCTATCTTGACCTTCACCGCTGTTTTCTGCCGGTTCCACCTACTACTGGCGACAACCCTTCCGGCTTTTGGTCCAAGGAGTTTACCTCACAGTATAAGAAATTATAAGATAAAATTAATTTTTTGTTTCAAATGAAGCAATTTTTCTTAACACGGATAATGCGACCCGGTTTGACAAGTGAGCAGAGTGAGTCCAATCTACAGTGATGAATGATGCTCTTAGAAAGAAGTAAAATTTTCTTATGAACGAAAACTTGCTGACTTGAAAATAAACGCAGAAAAACCCCAATATCCTAAGCCTAAGCCTATATTAGAGTTTTTATCATTTTTGAGTCCATAATCTAATTTCTTTACTAGAAAAGTGACTTCTGACAGGGTATGGAAGCATGAAGTCGAGTAGGTGAGTAAGTTCCCCAGATGTATCATAAGACAAAAAAGTTGTGAACCACTGTGATAAAAGCTTACCAACATTTTTGAACAATATACCTGCATGATTGGAAAATTGAACTGAGTTGATAGCATCCACATCGTATCCATGTAACTAAAGATATTTTAAAATTCTTTTAACATTATATACCATCAATTCTTTTTTAATTTCTGCTAAGACTTTTTCTCAAAAAGCCTGTTATAAAGAAGCATAGGTGCGTCCACAAACTATCTTGGTTTCATTAATTAAGGATCCACCTCTTTAGGAGATAGAAACCGAACCCATTCTGCTTATCCTCAACTGCACGTCAAAAAACTCAATCCCCAATTGTAAAACATTGGTTTTAATTTAAAAAATTTAAAAAATTTAATTTAATTTAATTTATTTAAAAAAGTAAAATAAAATGGTAAAAAATAAAGGCACATCATGCTTCCGATTCTTTCTCTCCTTGATTCTCTTCTATAAATCAATTTTAATTCACCAATAATAATTCTTCGGTAACTGGTTAGCTCAATTATAATGAATAAGTAGGTCTTTCATAATAAACGATAAACAAATTTCAACGGTCAATTTCGAAATGAATTAAGAAAACTTAGAAAATGTAGACAAACCTGTAATGGAAAAACACAACATTTATTGCCAACATAACCATGTACAACATGACTTTGTATCGACAAAATTCGTCGATTACCTTCTGGATTTTTTAATAAATTATTCAATAAATTCTCCTTATATTCTCTATCATCGAGTGCCTCCGTGTAAGCTGATTCCATTCTCAAGTAAAAAAAGTAATTTACTGCAATGGTACTATTAAAATCTACTCCATCTCGTAAATAATTGAAATAAAATGAAAGGAATTACAAGTTCGCTGGTTTCAACATAATCTAAATTAGCAGACGCTGATAATGTTGAACGCTGATAATAATATGAGCGGAAGGATCGATGGCTCATAATTAATCGCCCGTAAAAATAAAAAACAAACTTATTTATTCGTTTTGCGTTCAGTTCATCCCCTTATATAATGGCGATTGGAGGTTAATAGAAATGATTAGAAATGATGGCTGATTTACTTATTTTTATTTCTTGATACATTCGTTAAAAAATAATCCAAGAGAAAAAAAATTCCAGCAAATTTATTCATGTGACCTTTTTTCTGACAAAACGCATAACTTATGGTTTCATTGGTTTCATTTACCCTTAGGATAGCCTATCGTTTGCCGACATCAGCGGTGTAAAGGTCTTCCCAAAAAAGAAAAAGGAGATGCTCCCTGACCTCAAGTGAGTGCGAAACAGACTTCAAAGACACCATGCATTTCCTCCCACTCCCCCTTTATATTCCCTCTTTTACTTAAGCGAATTATTTGTATATTCTATAATTACCTTTTATGCTCCGCACTCTTTATTCTTTAACTACCATAATTCCATGACCTCCCGAGAAAAGATATTTTTCGATGAGAATCCACTCGTATTTTTTAAAAGTTTTAAAAAAATATAAAACAATCTAAAAACAACCTAAAATAAGATTTTAATTAAATTTACCACAAGAATCAAAGTGGCGCTTTCAACGGTTGGTGGTAATTCACCGAAACCAAAAAATTCTCATCGCAGTTTTATCTAAGCGAGTTTAACCAGAAATGTGTGACTGAGTGTTACTAGAATTTCGCTACAAAAAATATTTTTTATACTAAAATAAGGAGCATTTATAACGATTTCTTCTAAATGTTTTTTAAATAAATTTGAAAATTTCGGTTATTTAAAAATTTCTTTCTTTAAAACGAGTGGTTAAAATACTAAAAGGTTAAACAAATTTTTGAAAAAGTGACAATTCATTTTAATGGAATTTCAAAAAAATCTCAAAAATTTTATTTCCGAATCTATATGTTTCTAATTCATAATGCAAATTGAGCGATAAAAGATTCAAGAAGAATCTCTTCGAACGAATAAAAATTTTGAGTTTCACATGATTTCCCTAGGCTTTCAATCGCTTATATATTCATTGTTTTGAGAGTTATTTCGTGTTCCATTAAACCAGTTCTATTCGCAATCAAATAGCGTAACTTATTTGATAAAGCGGATTAGTATGGAATGTAAACAATGAGAGCAACAGACCATTACAATAATGCATAAGTGATTGCACACTGCGAGAAAGAGCTAACGATAAATTTGTACTTTATAAGAGGCACTTTGTCCACAGTTGCAAAAATTTAGAAGATATGGAAGCAACTATTAATCGTCCGTTGTTCCACTCTGAGTTCGAACTGCCATTCATCAAAGGGTTTCTTGATGATTTGGAAGGCTTTGGAAGGCTTTTACATAGCACAGCTCCATATGTCGTTACATGTTCCATATATTTATACCTTCTATGTATTCTACATTTTGCGGTAAAAATGTGAAAAATTGCAACGCTGAGTAGATTGAAATTGCCTTGCTATCGCATATTTTCGCAAGTGGTTTACTCGCATACCTCTTGTTTTACATAAGCACGACTGATCCTCAAAACTGACATCTTTCCCTGACACTGGCCTATTCTGTCGACCGTATTACATGCAACAGATTTAGGCAATCTTCACGTTTCCATAGAAATGCAGGCATATCTAAAGTTTATCTAAAATTCATTTCATTGGAATATTTCACTATGAAGATAAGTTTAAAAAATGCAACCTCCGTCGGAGATTTCACCATCCCTAAATTCTCGCGGAAGAGACGAAGAATTGGCCATTTCACCTTTGACCTTTCCTACTGTCTGAATGCGACCGCTAAAATGTCGAAACCGGGGTAGTGCGCAAGTCTTGTGAAACTAAGCACCTCTTGTTCCACCGTTGTCACCTTAAATTGTATTTGACCAAATAACACCTTTGAAACGAAATCAAAGCGATGTGGAACTATACGCGACGATAAAATTCGTAAATTTGTCCCCCCACTTTCAATTTGGGGAGATTATTTCGCAAACTGCATAATTACAAAATTCATCTTCGAAATTTGCGAAACAATAAAACGACTTAAACCTGAATTTGCCCCATAAACTTTTATATATCGCACATCCCTTTCAATCACTACTTGTATACTACCAAGATAAAAAATAGATTGGCTGACTTTTAAACATTCTTAAATATCAAATTTAGATAAAACTCAGCTGCCGCCTTCGTAGAATCACATTATTTCTGAGAATAACTGACAATTTGTTATAAGTCGAGTTCGGAGAAGTATGTTGTCCTGTGGAAGTCGGTGGTAGGCTTTGGTGGCGAGGCTTGAGAGTGAGTTCCGAATCCGACCAACGCTTCGGCAGTGTTGCCGAATGGCGAAGGTAGAACGAGGTGAAAGTGGTTTGAAGAGTCGGTGCTGAGGTTTGCCAGGCAGCAAGGATGTCGGGGTGATGCTGCTGACTCACCTCCACTTCTTTTGCCAGATGTGTTTGGTTCAAGCCAGCAATACGAACCGGCAAACAGTAATGAGCGCTCCCAGAAAAAAAATCAAGTCATTGGTTCAGTTTTCGTGTTTAAAAATTCTGTCTGAATGTTGAAGTGGGTGAAAGTGACTTTTAACCCGACCTTTCTTATAGGCTATAGGCTAGGCTATATTTATAATTCTTATAATTCTTTATGATTCTTATAGGCTATAATTTATAAAAGTTTTTCTCAGAATTTCAGAGGAATTTGTCGTTGAATATCGAATAATTTTATGGATCGAAGACGAGGTTACATTTCACTAATTTTCACTACTTTTTCATTAATTTTTATTTTTCTTTTTTCACGAAATGATTTTTTCATCAATCTCTCTCTTAGATTATTAGTTTAATTATAGAACATCGCAGATCACGTTCATCTCATCGTAGACGTGAGTATGAATTAGACGGCCGTAACCATAAAAGACATGGCGAAATAAGAAAACGAGAAAAAAGCCCTCTTCGAACTAATAGTTTCCCTGATCGCATATCTCATCAGGTTTTTCTTGCATTTTTCTACACTATTTTCACTATTGTCAAGCAGCAGAGTTTTCTTTTTTAACGACGATCAGGAGAAATGAAAAACAAGAAAAATGACTTGAGCGAAAAGCAAAAAAAGTTGAATATTTTAACATCCATATTTCTCCAAAGCTCATTTTTTCTACTTTACATCTTTCAATCCTAATCCTTCTAAATTATTTTCTCACTCGCGAATTCCCATTGTCCATCCCGCATGTCTCTCTCTACAGTTCCCATTATTCTTCCTCATCACCTTCAGTTACCATATTATCCTTTATAATCTTATTTGTTGCGATAAAAGGCAACGTTTTAATGGATGATGGTAAGAAAATATAATTTAAAAAGATATTTTATTGGCTGTTGCCAAATGAGCATAAAAAGAGAGTACAGCGGAGTTTTAAATAAAATATTTCATAGATTCATAAGAGAAATTAGAGAGGTGTCTCAATACACCGACAGATTTCACAGTGTGATTACAAATTAGCGTATGAGATGGAAATTTCAAAGTTGTAACCATGTTTCGCTTACAAATACGTATATGCTATAATATTAAGAAGTGGAAGTGCTTTTTAATGCCACTTAATATCTCGTTTTCATACCCTGTCCTACTATGTTATATTTCTCCAGAACATTTTAGACTCACTGTCCAGTTGATAGATAACATTTTTTAGCAATAGGTAATAAATATGACTTATGCGAAGTCCAAGAACGATGAAAATTATTAAAAAAATTCATAAAGCAAATGAAAATGTGCAGAATGCATTATCAACGAGAGTGAAATATATCGGGTCAGAGTATCCAAGTGATTACCTTATCATCTCGCGCGTTAAAGATCGAAGCTTGTCTCTCCGGAAATTATCAAGAGTTCCAGATGTAATACAGTGGCTCTGGAAAAATTTTCCACCTTATTAATCAGTGAACGAGCATAACAAGAAGTGTTTGCCGTTTGTCACGTTTTATTTAGATCTTCATTTCCTTCTAACAACTCTCATAATTACTGGTTAGACTGACTCCTCTTGCTATAAAGGTAAGATCTCTCCAAGTCCAGGTGTCTTGAATCCTCATTTTTGATGCCATCCATCATAGGGTTTAACAAGTAGCGCAACGCAAAATATTTATCAACTGCTGTGGTGAATAGCGAAGAACATGCCGTGAGCAGCGAAGATGGCGTCCTGTGATGGTAGTATTAACATAGGTGATATATGAACGAAGATGGATGCAATATGCGATTTTATTCTCTCGACGGATCCTTAAAATGTACCGTTAACATGAGTGGTCAAGATAACTTCTTAATATCCTCCACTTTCATTGGCCATGTCTCAGAGCCATATAGCAAGATCGAACGAATTAGTGCTATATAGACGCGAATTTTTATTTTATGGTGATTTCACGACTCCATAAAGGTTTCGGCAACCGAAAGAATGCATTTCTAGTATCGACATTCTGATTATAATTGCGTCTTTTGCTTGGCTATTTGGGATTAGACTGGACCCAAGGTATAAGTTGGGCACCTCCTTAACTGAATTGGTAAAAATAAGTATTTAATTAGCTTCTTATGTATAAGATGAACCATGAATCCTGCAATTCTCGCTGCATTTGTTGACACATTGTTTAACATTATTTGCATTTCATTATAAATCTCATGGACTTATTTGTACACCTCTTGAATGCCAACAAGTGATATCCATGATCCAGTCTATCGCACGGTTGAATATTATAGGGGAAAGGGCGCACTTTTGAAGGACATCAGTTCTCACTTCTGAAGAGTCTGCCAGTTATGCACAAACTGCGATTTACGCTGAAAAAATGCAT